AAGGAGCTCTGAGCACACACACCGGCCCCTCCCCACCAACCCCCAACCCTGCCAGTGTCTCAAGGTCTCTGGGGATCTTAGCAGGGCCTCCAAAGCTGTTTTGGGGTAGCTACCAGAGAAGACATGGGTTTAAATCAATAGAAAGTCTTTATTTGCCAACAATGATGTGGTTTTTATCCCTCCAGGTTGGTGCCATGAAGATCTTGTTACCAGGTGACAGTATCAGGATGACATGGAACATTCAGGAGGTGGGACCTGGTGGTAGGTAGGTCCTTAGGACAACTGAGAAGTACCATGGAGGGGTTTGGGGTTCCCACCTTACGGAGACATGGAGGGTTTTTTGCTCATAGACGTGCTGAAGGGGAACCTGAAATGTGGAATATACAGGGATGTTCCTTCAAGGGAAAGGATGCAAAACCTGTTTCCTGCCCAGAAGGTTAGAGTGGCTGTGCCATCTAGTCTGGTGACCTTTGTGCAATCTATGTGGCTGAAGATTTTCTGGCGCCTGAGCTTTCTCCATACCGATCTTGTAAAACTGTTTTTCACATCAGGCTATAGAAGTTATCTCTTGCTGGGCGGTGGTGGCACACACCTTTAATCCCAGCACTCGGGGAGGCAGAGGCAGGCGGATCTCTGTGAGTTCGAGGCCAGCCCGATCTACAGAGCAAGTTCCAGAACAGCCAGGGCTACACATGGAAACCCTGTCTTGAAAAAACAAAACAAACAAAAATTGGATGATCACAACAAGCATCAGCATCTGGAAGAAACCAGAGGTGTGATGCCTGGACAGCAAGAAACCAAATTTTCTTTTGGGAAATGGAGGGCTATCCAAAGAGAAGAAGGTCCCACCAGGGGTTCACAAGCACTGACACCTGTACACTCTAGAGTCCTGCCATAGAGTCAGAATTCTCCTGGAGTGCATGGAAAACTCCTAAGCACAGGCTTTGGTAACCCCCTGGCAGGTGTTGGCAATGGAGTGGAGAAATTGTGGACTTTGCATTGGTTGATGAAGAGACAGCAGCTACTAAAGAACACATGAAAGTCATTTCGAGAACGTAAGTTGGGGCTGGAGAGATGGCTCAGAGGTTAAGAGCATTGCCTGCTCTTTCCCTAAAGGTCCTGAGTTCAATTCCCAGCAACCACATGGTGGCTCACAACCATCTGTAATGAGGTCTGGTGCCCTCTTCTGGCCTGCAGGCATACACACAGACAGAATATTGTATACAAAATAAATAAATAAATATTTTAAAAAAAAATAAAGTCACAGAGTATCACCATTGCCCACTAAATATGACAGCGACCGTCCACCATTGTAGCTGTAGGAGGTCACAGGCTCATGCACAGTTTGTGCACGCAGAGCTGTCGTACAGTTTGTCGGGCAAATTATATGGAAAATTATGGATGCAGCTTTGAACTTAGTTACACCTTTGGAGTACTCAGTTATAATTTTCTGAACTGGTCCACTTACTTTCCAGGGTTTGAACTGACAAGGTCATAGTCCTGGTAGTAATCATTCAGCCACGAGTCCAACAGTCTATTGCTGGCACACAGAGTGTCTCTCAGGCTTCAGTTGTGCACCCCACTGGGCCTCCTTCAACTCTTCTACCTCCTGGTCTATCTTAGCTGGCATTCTTCTCTGCCATCACATTGCTCCATCTGTCCTTCCTGTTCCCGGCAGGCTCTGGCTCCAGCACCAGCCTCTTCCACCTGTGTCAGGCTCTAAGGCAGTCTTCCTATGGTGTGGCCTTCTCTGTATTTCCAGAACACCGCTTATACACTGCGTGGAAAATTATAGTCTGTTAGGTAAACATCGAGTTCCTGGAAAAGTAGCCATGTCACACTTACTCATCGAGTGCTGATTCTGTGTCTTCCCTGGTGATAGCGTGTGACCAGAACAGCCACAGAGCCTGTCTTTATGGCACTGGTGGTTTGTGTGTCAAGATAAATTGGTGAAATGTATAATAAAATTATTGTTTATCTTAACCTGTCAGAACTTGGCAAAATACAGCCATAGTAAGTATGTTTCTGAATGGAGTGACAAAGAGGCTATTGTAGAACTAAGTAGAATAGATTGAGAATCAAGAGGCCTTCATTCTCACAGCTGTTGGCTTTGTGACTTTGGACTAGGCCTTTTCTGAGTTTGATGAGAGAATTGGACTCAACCACCTCTGTGGGCCCTGTCAGCATTAATACTCTGACCCCAGAGAGTCCTATTCGAAGGGACAGCAGCAGACAAAAAGACAGGAGGGAAGGGATGGAGTCTAGAGTGGGTTACATGATCTCAGATGCCATGAAAAATGGATGGCTGCAAAACCTGAAACTGTAGTGGGACTGACGTGCTCCAAGTGGGGAGTTTCAGCCTGGGCCAGCCAGATGGCTCATCCAGAGGGCATCTTGCTACCAAGCCTGACCGCCTGGGTTCTGTCCCAAGGAACCACAGAGGACGGCAGAGCTCACAGGTTATCCTCTGATCTTCACATGCACTCCAAAAATGAATAAAATATAAAAAGTTAGGGAGTTGCAGGAGTACTCGGTTCATATTTTATTGTATCCTGTGCTGGCTAGTTTGTGTCAACTTGACACAAGCTGCAGTTATCAGAGAGGAGGAAGCTTCAGTTGAGAAGATGCTTCCATAAGATGTGGCTGTTGGCTAGCCTGTGGGGCATTTTCTTAATTAGTGATTGATGGAGGAGGACCCAGCCCATTTTGAGTGGAGCTACTTCTGGACTGGTGGTCCTGGGTTCTATAAGAAAGTAGGCTGAGCAAGCCATGAGAACCCCAAAGCCTAACCTTGAGTAAGCAGTAAGTAACCCTCCATGGCCTCTGTGTTAGCTCCTGCTTCGAGGTTCCTGCCTTCACTGCTTTCATTGATGAACTGCTATATGGAACTGAGAGTGAAATAAACTCTTTCCTCCCAGGTTGCTTTTGGTTATTGTTGAAATAAGAGCGGCGGGGCTGCGTCCCCAACACCCCGGCCGCTTGGCTAGCTCATGCCCGAAATAACAACACACAAACTGTATTCATTTAACTGCTTGACCCATTTCTATCTAGCCTCTTCTAGGCTAATCCTCACATATTAATTTAGCCCATTTCTAATCATCTGTGTAAGCACCCCAAGGTGCGCTTACCGGGAAGATTCTAGCCTCCGTCCATCATGGTGTCTCTGCTCCAGAGAGCAGAGATGTCAAGTCTCTCTGGGAGCAGAACAGAGTCTGACCTCACTTCCTCTTCCGCCCAGAATTCTATTCTGTTTATTCCTCCCATCTATGTTCTAAGCTGAGGCCAAGCAGTTGGTTTATTATAACTTAACCAATGAAATCAACAGATTGATATATGACACTCCCACATCAGGTTATGGTGTTTCATCACAGCAACAGTAATTCTAACTAAGAGATACACATATATAAAATTCTCAAGAATAAAGAAAAACTGGCCAGGTGTAGTGGTCCATGCCTTTAATCCTAGTACTCAGGAGTCAGACAGAAGGGTCTCAGTGAGTTAGAGATCAGCCTGGCCTACACTTTGAGTTCCAGGACAGCAAGAGCTGTGTAGACACTCTTGTCTAAAAACAACAGAAAAACTTAAAAAAAATTCCAGATCTGACTACAAAGACAAGTCACTATGTATAGGAGCATTAGAAATGTTTTAGGTTGTGTGCTAAGGCACCTATGAAACATGAGTCAGTTGGGTCCTCCCTCTAATAAAGATCACTTCGTATATGTACATATTTCCAAAATCCTAAACACTTGTGGGTCCAGACATTTTAGATATGGGGTATGCAACCTATTATTTGATTCAGATTATGTAGAGCTCAGTAATCGATACAATTATGGGAAACATTTTTAACTAAAATTTTAATTAAAACTTAAAGAACAAGAATAAAAAGAAAGACTGGCTATGGTGTTTGGGTTTCCTGTGATTAAAGGGCAGCTTCCTTTTATATTTAGATTAAGATGTCAGCTAACTGTCATTCACTTTCACATGCATCTAGTTCAGGCATCTATTTCGGAACCCTAAGTTTTAGGTAGTGGTACTAGCCACAACTCTGACTTTGTACGGTGGCATTTCTGCATCTGGCACCTATTTCTCTAAAGCAAAGTAATGCAGCATTGATAGAAGTGTGCTCAGGCTGTGGGGAACTGCCTTACTATATGACAGTTGTCAAAGGTACTTGTATCATGAACATGGTGCTCCTACTGGCTTTAGTTATTTCGCAAACTACTTTGATAGTTTAAAACTTTAGCTTTAAGGGCTGGAGAGATGGCTCAGTGGTTAAGAGCATTGCCTGCTCTCCCAAAGGTCCTGAGTTCAATTCCCAGCAACCACATGGTGGCTCACAACCACCTGTAATGGGGTCTGGTGCCCTCTTCTGGCCAGCAGACATACACACAGACAGAATATTGTATAAATAAATAAATAAATAAATAAATATTAAAATAAAAAAAAAAACACTTTAGCTTTAAGACTCTTCCTAGGTGCTCAAAATTCCATGGACTTGCAGTCTAGAAAAGTTTCAGCATCATCAGGCTCTGAACCGTGTGAGGAAGTGTTGAACCCCATCTCATCGAGTTTCCTATCCAAGAACGGGACAATTTTCGAAGGTGAGTTGTTATGGCTTTTAGTTCTTTACACTACTGCAGCCGTGTGTGTGGAGATGCCGTGGTGCCAGTACGTAGGTCTGGGGCAACTGGCAGGAGTTCAGTGTCTCCACTGTAGGTCCTGGGGACCAACTCAGGCCATCTGGATTCGCAGGCAGCAAACATCTTTGCCTGCTGAACTATCTTGCCAGTCCATGTGCCCTGTTTTAATTACATTAAAAATATATTCCTAAACTGAATCTGGTGGCCGATGCATGTAATTCCAGCAATTGGGAAGCTGAGGCAGGTGGATTGCTGTGCAAAGTTTGAGGACAGCCTGGAATATAGAGTGAATTCTAGGACAGTAAGGCTGTTGTAGAGTGAGATCCTCTTTCAAAAACAAAACCAATCATATAGTCATTCCTGGCCTGGGGCTATAGTTCAGTGGACTAGAGTTTGCCTATACTTGAGGCCCTGGGTTCCCCCCAGCATCTCACACACAAATTCCCTTAGTATGTGTGACTATGTTTGTATGAGTGTATGAAAAATCATTTATTTTCGAGAATTCCTTTATGAGATCCATTTTAATTTTTCTTAACAGCAGAAACTCCTTCTGTGAGTATGATTACAAGTGCCAGAAAATTAGGTGAGCCGATCCGAGCTGCCATCCCCTTACACCCTCCCTACCATCCTTCTGAGCCTCGAGCACCTTGTCCCATAGGGAAGGAATACCTCCGTTCAAGTCTCTACTCGTCTGCCCTGACTTCTGGAGAACATTCGGGACGTTCTGTGGTGAGTGGAGAGGTCTTATCATTGGCGAGAAGATTACTTACTTTTGCTGCTGGCGATTGAACCCAGAGCCTTGTATATGCTGAGCACACACGGTCCCACTGATCTCTACCCCGAGTCCCGAAGTCCATCTACTTAAAGAAGTCTCCTTAGAATGGTTTTCAAGTATATTACATTAATCAAAGACACACACCTGCCATCATAACACTGGGGAAACCATGAGGAGGATCACTGGGGATTTGAGACCAGGCTGGGCTAGTGAGACCCTGTGGCCTTGAACTCACAGAGATCTGCCTGCCTCTGCCTCCCGAGTGCTGGAAATAAAGGTGCATCATACTTAAAATTTCTCTCAGTAGGCTGGGGATGAGTCCTGACTGGCAGAGTGCTTGCCTAGAAAGCACAGCTCTCGCCACTGTAGACCCTGTGTGGTGGTGCATGCCTGTGATCCCCAGGGGATAGAGGCAAGATGATAGAAAGGCACACTCATCCCCAGCTACAAGAAACCCTGTCTTTAAAAAGAAAACAAAACAAAAATTTGGGGCTAGAGAGGTAGCTCAGTGGTTAAGAGCACTTGGCTGGTTTTTACAGAGGACCCAGGTTTGATTCCCAGCACCCACATGGCAGCTCACAACTGTAACTCCAGTTCCAGAGGGTCAGACACCTTCTGTCCTCTGAGGGTACCTACACATGTGTTGCACAGACATACATGCTGGCAAAACATCAACATCCACAAAATTATAAAATAATTCTTAAAAGGAAAAAGGTGGCCTCTGTGTCTCCCTGTATGCTCTTCTCCTAGGCAGACAGGAAGAGCATAAGGAAAAGAGAGCCAACACATAGAGAATGCTTTTGTTTCTGCTAAGCACAGTTCTGGGTACTTTATAGGTATTAGGTGATTTATTCTTCAAAGCAGCTGTGAGCAGATGCTGCACGTGTGTGGGAAGCAGATGCTGCACGTGTGTGGGAAGCAGATGCTGCAGGTGTGTGGGAAAGCCAGCCTGGAGACGTGAGCTTCCTGCCTAAGTGACATCGCAACTGCAGAGCCCCAAGTTGTATATTCCTAATTGAATCCTTACAAATTAGAAAGGAAAGAACAGTCCACCCATAGTCTCACTGATTAGTATAAAACACTTAATATCTTAGTCTATTTTTGCTTCTCTCCTTGAGAAAAAGTTTTTTTCATATTGTCATCTTGTTCCTAACTTCCTGAGGAAACCAGGCATATATATGCTAGGATAGACAAACCTGTAAGGAATGATCTCATTATTTTAAAATGCAGATAATGGTACCAGGCATGGCGCCACCTTTAATCACAGTGCTTAGGCAGAAGCAGGCAGATCTCTGAGTTCTGGTCTAGAAAGTGAGTTCCTGGACAGCCAGGGCTACACAGAGAAACTCAGTCTCAAAACCCCAAATACACACACACACACACACACACACACACACACACACACACACACACATATGTATATACACTCACATACATACATATGTGTGCATATACTAGAAAATAACCCATTTAAGAGAGAGATAATGAGCCAGACAGTGTGGCACACACCTTTAATCCCAGCACTCAGGAGGCAGAGAGAGAGAGATCTCTGTGAGTTCAAAGCCAGCCTGGTCTACAGAGTAAGTTCTAGGACAGGCTCTAAAGCTACACAGAGAAACTCTGTCTCGAAAAAAAAATCAACCAACCAAACAAATAAACAAACAAAGAGCACTAATAAAGCAGAATTACTGCAGCTGTCAAATATCTAATGAGTGGTGCTTTTCCTCAGCTGTGGTGACACAAGCTTGCAGTCCCGGGCCTTGACAGACTGCGAGAACAGTGAGGGTCCAGCCAGCCTAGGCTACCTAGTGAGTTTGAGACTAGCTATGAAACCCTCTCTCCAAAGGGGAAGAAAACCAAAATAAATATTTTTTAGACTGTTCCCTTCAAGGTTAAGAAATAAGCTATTAGAAATGCCAAGCACTTATATTTTGGAGGGTTTCATCTTTGTTTTGAGTGTTTCTGGAGAGTTTGTTGGTGTCTTGGTGCTGGAGACTGAACTCAGGTCCTCGTGCTTGTGTGGCAAGCTCTTTACTGAGTGAGCCATCTCCTCAGTGTCTCAGGCCAGCTCTCTTCTGTTTGAACAGGAATCAGAGGATAAAGTTGTCTTAACGTCCACATTCTCCAAAGATGATGAACAGGAATCATGTCTAGCTCTGACTCCAAGCCCCAGGACAAGGAAGCTTCCTAAAGGGCAAAGGTAACATTGTTGTGGGCTTATAGTCTAGTGTAAAGGGACTGGAAAGCAAAGGGGCTGATGAGACAGCTTTCAGGAAGGGCCTGGTGCCCCAAGATGGATCCTGGGAACCCATGTAAGGCAGGTGGAGACATACTCTGTGACAAGTCTCTCCCCCAATAATAAATAGTATTTTTTTTAAAGAGTATTCTTTACAAATTTAGCATTTGAGAACCAGAATAAAGTATTTGTTAAAGTGTGTATTAGTCATTTTGAAATAAGTAGTATGTTCTTAACTGTTAATTGTCATTGGCCACTTTTTTACAGAAATGAGAACAGAGCTGTGGTCTCCTCAAAGTACTCGCTCTTCCCTCAGAAAGCCAGGACGCGGCTAACAGAACAAGAGCTGCATGCGGTGTCAGAGAAACTGTCTCAGCGGCTCTCTGAACTAGACTGGGCAAGTCTCCACTTTTAATCTTGGCTGAGATTTCTGTGGTTAGTCTTTCAGTGGAGGAAACCTAGACGTAGGTAAGGCTGGGCTGTGGGCTGTGTTCTGCTAGAAGCTCCACAAGTCGAGCAGGAGGGACACAGACAATGGCTCCTCGCCTTCCTTATATAGCCAAATAGGGCATAAAGATTTATCTAAATTTTACTGAATTTTGATGAAAATGGAGTCACTTAATGTGATTGTTAAACCATTCATTTTTAGATCCATCTGTACACACCTTTGTCACAAGGACAGATGTGGTAAAAATTGGATGAAAAGTTCTCAAGTAGTGGGGTAACAACATTGAATGATTGCATGAAACTCGTGTGGCTTTCTGTAAAATTCATTGAAATTGAGTGGTTTATAGCACTGATATCCACTCTTTCCTTTTGTCGCTTTTTATTTTTTGTTTTGAGACAGAGTCTCACTATTTAGTCCTAGATGGTCTAGAACTTTCTACACAGGCCAGCCTGGACTTAAACTTGCTGTAATTTTCCTTCCTAAGGTCAAAAGTGTGTCTACCCATGCTTTAAATGTTAATATAAAGCCTTCACTGTACCTCTCAGAAGACCCTGAGTTCCAGGCCAGCCTGGTTTGCACAGTGAAATCCGATCTCAAACACATAAAGTAGATGCAATAAAAGCTGCAGGTGTATAAGATGCTGTGCATACGTTTCTAAAGCTTGGTCTTAGTGGCTGGCAGAGACAACTTTTAGAAGGCCTGTTCGCTTCTACTTCATTTCCTGCTGAAGTCAAGGACAGATACTGAAAAGATTTTCTCGGTAGATGTTAAAAGCTGCCCTGGGTGATGGAGCGACAGACAAGACTGATGGTAAAGATGGTGACACTGGAGAGGAAGAGGTGCACAGTGGCACTGAGGAGACACTGTCGCAGCACAGTGACAGCATCATGGAGTATGGGCCGAAGAAGCCCAGGCCAGGTACGTAACCCAGACAGGCCTGAAATGAGGTGTCCAGGATAACTTCTCAGGTGGTTCTGTGTGTTAATGGCAGTTTCATTTTATATAAGAATCAAAACTAATAGCAAACTCAAGTTGGTGTTGTTTCTTACTGATATTTCTATACTGTCAAAGCTTATAATTACTTGTCTAAATATGCACATTTTCTTGCTGAAATCTACACTGACACTATACATCCTGCAAACTTCTTCATTCTGTTACCATCACCTAGGAGATGTTCGTTGATATTTAAAGATTGAGTCCATCCATCTGAGCTGCTGTTTAGCTGAATCCAGTGCCCGTTAGCAGAACGAGTGGTACTGCTCAGTAGAGGTCACAGTGTTTAGCCAGGTTACCTTTGCCTCAGTTAGCATGCTGTAAGCTCTGTGTACGTGTTTACTTTCCATCCTCAGGACCCAGACAGGTAAAAGACTCACGGACACATAGTCCACATGTTACTCGCCGTACGACCAAGAGCACTTCCTTTCCATGGAACCTTGTGCATAGCATACATTTCACAAGCTCCGGGGCTGGAGAGATGGCTCAGAGGTTAAGAGCACCGACTGCTCTTCTAGAGGTCCTGAGTTCAATTCCCAGCAACCACATGGTGGCTCACAACCATCTGTAATGAGATCTGGTGCACTCTTCTGGCGTGCAGGCATACATGGAGGCTGAACACTGTGTACATAATAAATAAATAAATCTTCACAAGCTCCGTCAGCCTGAAGTTGAATAAGCAATGCTTATGTACTTAGCAGTACATATTTGTGTGTGTGGTGTATGTGTTGGTGTGCACATGTGCAAATGTATGTACATGCATGTGGAGGCCAGAGATGAACATCAGGTTTCTTCCTTCTTTAATCTCTCTGTTGTATTTTGGGACAGGTTCGCCTAACTGAACCAGGAACCCATAGATTTAGCAAGGTTGGCTAGCTACAGATACACTGTCACACCCAGTTTCTTACCTGCGTGCTGGGGATCTAATACATGCTTAGACAGCAAGCACTTCCCTCCCTATCCCTAACAGTCTGTTTGCTTGGTCTGACTAAACACACAGCTGCATATTAGAAGAGAATACATTAGCACATTAGCTTGTCATTTTCATTTTCTTTAGGTTCAGTAAGAACCAATTGCTCAGTTTCCAGCTCAACATTTCTGCCTGCCAAGAACTAATGGTGAATGGCTTTTCTGTTGCAGGATTTTCCATGTACAGAAAGTCAGCTTACAGGTCCCATTCACTGTCCCCATCTTCAGTAAACAAACATAGACAATTAGAGAAGGAGAGAAAGAAGCCGCACAAGTCTAAAGGAACAGAGACCCGCCGATTCCAAGCAAAGGTACGCCCTCATTCCTTGAATACACGTAGGCAGCAGCAAATACTATTTCTCCTCAGTTGGAGCATACACACCATTGACCAAAGATCTAAAGTGCATCCACTGTGCCTGAGTTGAACAGACAGCAGAGAATTATGTGATACAGCATTAGAGATGCAGTCATGAAATCATCAAAAAATAACCTGGCTATTCAGAGGATGAAGAAAGAGGAGGTTGATGTGGCCTGGTATTTTCAGAAAGAAGTCATAGGTAAAGGGAGTTAGGAAAGATTCAGTGGGAAGAGAAAGCTACCCTGTAAAGGAGGTGACTGGGAGCTCAGCTTTTAAGAGGACCCAGGTTTGATTCCCAGCACTCACATGGCGGCTCACAACTGTTGTAACTCGAGTTCCAGCGGCTCCGGTCCACTCTTCTGACCTCCACAAGCACCAGGTAGGCAGACACACAGTGCAGACATACATGCAGGCAAGACACCTATACACATAAAAACGTAAAAAAGTATTTTTTTTTTAATTAAAGGGCTCCATCATTTCTGATATGAGAATGCCACAGTGGAACAGAGACTTTGAAATCCATAAATTTAGAACACTTGGTTGTCTGCTGTAGTGGTTTTTGTTTATTTTTGTGGTTTGTTTTGTTTTTGTGTTTGTTTTTTGAGACAAGGTTTTTCTATATAGCCCTGGCTGTCCTGGAACTTGTTATATAGACCAGGCTGGTCTCAAACTCAGAGATCCACCTGCCTCTACTTCCCTGGTGCTGGGATTAAAGGTGTGCACCACCAACACCTGGCATAGTGGATTTTTATAATGTAGTTGCATTTAAAATGATGAAAACTGGAGTTAATTCAGATGTCTTAAAATAGTTATCCTCAGGGGCTTGCAAGTCTGTTCCCCAGGTTCAGTAAGATTCAGTAAGAGATGCTGTATTAAAAAATAGGGTGAGGAGTGATTGAGGCACACACGCACACACACATATATATATATATATATATTTAGCATGTAACTTCCACTCAGGAGTATAATAATTATAAAACCTGTGAAAATAGTAAAAAGAAAAACCATTGTATTCAATGGCATTTTACGTACCGATTACGTCTGTTAACACAATGTGTTTTTATGAAGCAGCCTAAAAGGAACTTAGGAAAAGGGAATGAACCTGGTAATTTTAGAATAGGAATTTAGATTCTTTTTCCCCTTCATTTAGATTTGCACATGTTTCTGACTATTGCCATATGACCTTACTCTTTCTAGGTATTAACTGAAGCATTTGAAAGGGACCTTAGAAAAAATAAAGTTCAAGAGAACATTGGACTTCGAGGGATAAGTGACGATGAAGAGGAGGAGGAAACAGTGGGTAAAAATCTCCAGCTCTAATAAATGCAAAGATAGTGAAAAGTACAGAAGTGGCCTTTTTAAAGGGACAGGGACCCAGCAGGCCTGAGTCATTAGCTCAGAGAAGGCAGGCTTTCCTCAGACTTGTGGAGTGATACAAGAGGACTCGCGTTTTTCCTTCTGCCTAGATTTTGTTTGGCCTCAAAGATTCTTTCATACCCAGTTTGTAAAGGGTTAAAATAGGATCTAGGTGACAGAGGAGAAAGGGGAGACAGGGTTCCAAGCACTTTGTTCCAGAGTAAGAAACCCAAGTCCTTGCTTTCTACCCCTCAGAAGTTCCCAGCCGGGTGTGGAGGTTCCCAGCACTTGGGAGGCAGAAGCAGGAGGGTATCTGTGGTTTGAGCAGAATGGTCTACATAATGAGTTCCAGGACAACCTGGACTAAATAGACCTTGTCTCAAAACAACAAACAAAGAAAAATTCCCCCCAAAAATACAACCAAAAAAAGAAAAAAAAACAAAACAAAACCCAAGAACCAGTGGTTCCCGCATGAGAGCAGGGAGTGCGGACGCTGGCGTGCTGTTGAAAGCAGGACTGCAGCACAGCAGACGTAGAACATACTGTGCACTGCTTGAGGGGTTTTCGTAAATATTTATTTTTTATGTGCATTATTGTTTTTCCTGTATGTGTGAGCCTGTGAGCCACCACATGGGTGCTGGGAATTGAACCCAGGACCTCTGGAAGAGCAGTTAGTACTCTCAACTTCTGAGCAATCTTTCCAGCCCCTTGAGTTTTTGAATATTCAGAGAAAAGGTTGTCAAAGAAACTAGCACATGAAAATTTTAATAGTAGTTCTATTTAGGGTTTGGGACTATGGTTACTAAAGCTGGGAGGGAAGCCAGTTGGTGGGGAGAGAAAACAAGATTAAGAGTGTGGTTGGCAAAGGCTAATTAGCCAATGTCAGTGTGTTGAGGTGATTGCATAAAAGGGTTTTTAGACCCCTTTCTTACTCTGCCCTTTTATCTGCTTCTAAGGAAAAAACACACAGAGAAGCCATTCCTAAAGGAACTCCAAAACAGAGTCAGGTCCAGAAGATTTACTCCAGAAAAACTGCAGCTCCAAGTCCAAAAGGCGGTTTCTTGAAGTCAAGCAAGGCAGCTCCGAGTAAGAGCCTCCAATGTCCTTCATGGCAGCCACAGCCTCTGGCTATGAATGCTGCATTCCAGAGGCTGCTGGAAACAGACATCCTCCAGTTAGCTGCAGAGAGGCCCTTGTATTACTGCCATATGGCTCGGTTTTTCTGTAACCAGAACCAAACTCCTAAGAGGTGCCTTGGGGAGACATCTATGGACAGTGGGAGCCTCTCTGCTCATTCATTCTGGTCCCGTTTTCATTGGTTGCTCTGTTTGTTTCTGGGAAGTTGGTAGAAGGCCGGTGATGCTCCAAGGCAAGCAGATGGCCTGCTCAGCCTCTATAAGATGACAGTTGGTGCTGCTGAGTCCGAGCTGTGGTGCAAGGAAACAAGGTCAGGTGAAATGCCAGGCTTCCAACTATATCCCATTAGGGGCCTTTCCTTCTAACCATGTGCCTACCAGGAAGTTGGAGTGTCTTCCGTTTTCACACACAGGAGGCATCTACCCACAGGTCTCAAGACCCCTAAGGAGATGGATGGATTCCTCGGAATTAGGGTCAGAACTACTGAGCTTTCCATCCTCAATAGGGATGCAGAGTATCCAGTATACTTTAGATGGCCCTAGGGCCAGCACCCGAGATTAGCTTGGTTTAGTAGGCAGATGGAGTTGAGAGTTCAGCAAGCCGGTTAGATTAGCAGCATCTCTCATTGTCCTACAGTGAAAGTGAATGAACACAGCCTTCTGCCCCTGATGCTGGAACAGTTTCCATTTCTCTATGTTTCTGACCCAACGCTGACCAAAATGTGGAAGCAGCAAATCGCACAGGTTGAACAACTCAAAAGAGAAGCACAGAGAGAAAACCGATCCAAGAAGAAACTCCAGGATGAAGTAAGCTGTTGTCCCTTTGAAGCCTAAGCAAACGAATAGAGCATGTCCTTGAACAGCATTATTAACCTTGCATTGTGTTCACCTTAAAGATAGAAGAAACCCTGAGAAGGCATGACCTCCTTACTGCCCTTGTCAAGAAGGAATGTGAACATAACAAGAGATTGGTATGTCAAGAACCAACAAGGCAACTGACTTCTAGCGCTTGCCTGTGGGAGTATCTATCCAGGGCTTTAACTCAAAATTGATGATGAGGAAGATATATGCCACCTTCCAGGGACACCGCACTGAAAACACACCTACCAGTTGGCTGCAGAACACTCTTCATCCCTGCTATCTGGCTGCTTTTCACTTTTTTTTTTTACTTTTTTATTTTTTATTTTTCGAGACAGGGTTTTTCCGTAGCTTTTAGGTTCCTGTCCTGGAACTAGCTCTTGTAGACCAGGCTGGCCTCGAACTCACAGAGATCCGCCTGCCTCTGCCTCCCGAGTGCTGGGATTAAAGGCGTGTGCCACCACCGCCTGGCTGCTTTTCACTTCTTTATAGTAACAAATTAGAGATGGTATTTTCCAAGATGAAAACCTAGGCCTTCAGGTGTAATATGACTTGCCTGGCTTTCTCTCTGATTATCAAAAGGCACAAATGAGATTTTATTTCATTTCTGTCTCTACCGCCACAGTCCATCTAGGGCTTAGGAGTCTTAGGTCTCCTGTCTTCTCAGCTCCCAGATAGAGAGCCAGTTTAGTTTTTGTTATAATTTGGGTTGAAAATCATTCATGTTGTCCCCAGTTAGTATTGTGAAGGGAAATGGCAGGTCAGTCTGCCATTGAGTTAAGAGATTTTAAAATCTTTTAGTTGGGTGTGAAGTGGGTTAAATCATGGAAATTCTAATCTTAGTTTCAAAAACGCCATCTCCAAAATTGCCTGTGCATCTTCACTGTAGTCAAGAACATCTGAGCCACAGTCAGGCTCGGGGCCTATTCCCTCTGCACACTGGGGCAGGCCTGTCAGTACTGCTCTTCAGATTGAGGTGAAGCCACAGTGAGCTTGTGTGGCCATTTAGTGGTCTTTCCTGCATGCCCACTTACAGCTGGAAGGCGTTGATGGGAGGTTGAGGGGATGAAATGAATGCTCTAGCTGGATGTCTGCTTGTTGTATTCTCTCTTCCCCAGCAAGACTTCAGGGACCGAATTCATAGACAAAGGTTGACCCAATCAAAGATAAAAGAAAATCGTCAGCAAATTGTTCGTGCTCGGAAATACTATGATGATTACAGAGTTCAGTTACGTGCAAAAATGATGAGGATGAGAACCCGGGAAGAAATGGTATGTGTTCTTCTATGTCTGTCTAGCTCTGCTAAGGTGAACTGGGTGTTATGTTTCAAGATGACTTTGTCTACAACTGACCTCAATTTGGATCCAAAATTCAGTCCAAGTTCAAAAAGCAGCCAGGACTTGTGCTTGACCAGCTGGTCATCCCATCTCCCTAGTCTTCATGATCCTCCTAAAATGCAGCCTTAAGTCCCTCTCCTACACTGTACTCTAAAGTACGGTGCCTGGGGTTTGAAGCACACTGCAGATGGCAGGAAATTAAGGTATGCTGGCATGATACAGGGCATAGCTGTGCTGTGAGCTGTGCCCACTGGCAAACTTTATTTCTACAGTAAAACTTGATCATGGTTAAACTGGATTAAATACAAATCTTTTTTTTTTTTTTTCCCAAGACAGAGTTTCTCTGTAGCTTTAGAGGCTATCTTGGAACTAGCTCTTGTAGACCAGGCTGGCCTTGAACTCACAGAGATTCACCTACCTCTGCCTCCCGAGTGCTGGGATTAAAGGCGTGCACCACCACTGCTGGGCAAATCAAAATATTTCTTGAGGAAGATACTGCTATGGCTTGAGGCAGTTAAGTAACTTGCTTAAGGTACTAAGGTGATGAATTGTGACTTGTCAGCTGTAGCCTTTTATGAAGATTTCTTCCTTATGAAGGGGAGACAACTGGGTATGTCAAAACCTCTTGGACAGTTGTTTTATGGTGGCTGCCCAAATGCTGACCCTTGACCTTCAGCTAAGTATTTAATGAGGTGCAGAAGCATTGGTTTCCATCGTGCCTTACATACAATGGATGCTCGAGAATTCTGAAGGCAGTAAAGAATCTTGGTGGTACATGAGAGGTTGCTGAGCACCATTCATCAGTAGAAATTGGAAATACAAATCACAGAACACACACCCACGAGGATGGCTAAAATATAGAGGATTGGTGAAGACATGAAGATGGGGCACTCTGCAGGACTGGTAGGGTTGTGTGATGGCATGATTGCTTTTGGAAGGTCTGTCAGCACTTCTAAAAGGTTACTGGAATGCTGTGTAGGGTTACTTTTGGGTGGATGGAGATTTTATATACATACATACATACATGTATACACATACACACATATTCATATCCACATAGCAACCAAAACTGTAACAGCTAAAAGGGACTCATGTCTGTCAGCTCGTTTGTGAGCACAGTTTAAATTCACAGTGCCAAGAGTGACACACCTGAGGCCTGTAAGCAGTCTGACCTTCAAAGCACGCCTGGTCAAGGCTGTGTCCAGAACAGGCAAATCCAGAGCAGGAATGGGAGAACATAAGTAGTGCAGACGAGTGTGGGGCTTCGTGTCTGAGGGATGGAAATGTTGAAAACTTGTGCTGGTTACACAGGATTGAGTCTCCTAAAACCTACTAATGATGATTGCAAATTTTAAGAGAGTTAATTTTGTTTGAACAATGAGTAAAGCTGTTATATTGAAAAGCCCTTGTGAAAATACCTGTAAGTAAGCAAAATCGTCATATTCCTTAGTGAAAGTGCAGTCTAATTAACGACTAAATAACCAACAGATCTTTAAGAAACTGTTTGAAGAGGGTTTACAAATCCAGAAGCAAAGACTACGAGACCTAAGAAACTACGCCAAAGAGAAACGCAACGAAGAAAAGAGACAGCACCAGAATGAGCTGGATTCGATGGAAAACTACTATAGGGACCAGGTGGGCTTGCCGCTGCTGCCATTAGTGTGTTCAATCCCGACCACAGGTTGGCTTAGTTCATTGCCGGTTAATAATGCAAATTGGCCCAGAGCTTTGCAGCACCATGTAAGCTTCACTGCTCATTTCTAAGGCAAATTTAAGATGAAATAAGCTAATCCCTAGCAACAGTGAACAATGTGTATCATCCTAGTTCCACTGAGATTTAAGATGGAGTATTAAGAATCATTGCACTGTGATGAAGATTTGTTTTTCTTTCCTCAGTTTTCATTGCTAGCAGAAGCCATATCACAGGAGCGTCAGGAACTCAAAGCCAGAGAGAAATCTCAGGCTCAGGTAATAATTAACAGAACAGGAACTATTCCTAAAAGGAAATAGAAAATGTTAACTGTAACTTTAAAAGAATGGAGAGAATATGAGTAAGAGGACCCATCTCTTCTCCAAAATACCTGATGGGCTCTAACATACCTGCTATGGTCTTGGAGGCGCTTGCTAGGAGCCTGCAGGTAGGGTTAAGAGTAGCGGGGAGCCTGGGTAAGTCACGAGGTGTAGACTGACATGAGTTCTTTTTTAGACGTTACATAAAGTGAAGAGGGAGCTGAGAGTTAAGATGGAGAAGGAGATCCAGCAGCTGCAGTACATGATAACCCAGAATGACGACGATGCTTTCTTTCGGGAACTAGAAGCAGAGCGCTTCAGAGCTCGGCTGCAACTGGCTTCCTTCCAGTACAGTAAAAATCCTTCCCCAACCTCATAGGTGAGGTTTCTAGAGACCTTAATAATATGGACAGAACTAGACCTGAGTAAGTAAACTGTCTAAACCAGAATTACTTTTAAAATGTGTTATCTATGTATTCATGCCAAAACTTACCATTTTTAAAAATAAAAACTTTTTTTTTAAAGCTTACTGCTTTTGAACTTATAACCCTAAAACCTGAGAAAAGGGAACAAAGACATGTTTTATGCTAAAGCAGTTACAAGTCTTGCCAGCCCAATCCTCCAGCCTCTTGATGGAGGCTAACAAAAGCTGTTAACTGCTAAGGAAAACATCCAGAACCAATGGATAAAGCCAATGATGGTAACTGTTTGGGGTTCAGGAGCTATCTAGCCTGAAGTCCTCATCCACCATGGTGGGAGCTGACTTCGTTTTCACTAGCCTCATCTACTTCCTGGCCAGAAGAGGTAGTCTCTACTCAGGGATGACTGGCTTCACACGAACCAGTGAGTTCTGTTGACTCTGTGCAGAGGCTGGTGATAATCTGGGTGTAGCAGTGCCTGACTTTAATCCACTTTAACCCAAAAGCAACTGAACTGATAATCTTCTGAAGCCATCAGCCTAGCCTAGCACACTGGAAAATTACAGAACTTGATGAGAAGAGCAAGTTACATTTAGGGAAGAGCTTTTCTCTTGTTCCAAGACAGGCCTTCCTAACTAGTGAAATTCAGGCTGGCCTCAACCAACCTCTCAACCCTCCAGTAGACTCCTGGGTGCTGGGGTTACCTTTTAAATAAAATAAATTTTAATTGTAAACTGGTTTGTCTAGTTACAGTTAAAGTGTTAGCATAAAAGGCAACTGTTCTGTGAAATTGCCTCATTTATCCTGTAACTAGTCTCTTGGCCTCTTGTGTGATCCTGCTGTGGTTATCTGGGATAGAAAACTCAAATGTGTTTACCCTCTATCATAAATCACAGGGGTGAACTACTGGCTACCACAAAGCAGAAATACTTTTAAACAAAGTGATCAAATCAAACTGGTTTGATTAAATACCAAAAATCTTTAATGTACTAGAATTTTGTTTTAGATAAAGTCAGTAAACACAGCAATGTGAAGCTTAATGTGAAAAAGTACAGCATGTTCATCCACCTGGAAGACTCCAACAAACATTTCTCCACTTCAGGAAACTGGCAAGAAAGAAACAGTACCCAAATTTAATTTGATGAAGCAGTCAGTTTATTGGGGCTATTTACAGGAGCGCACTACCGAAGAGCCTTCCACATGCGTTCTGAAATGACAGCAGTTATCACTCAAGTGCAGCTCCCCTGAAAGTCTCTCCACCTTTATTCCTTTTTTTTTTTTTCCTTTCAAAACTGCATGAACATACCTTGGAGGTTTTCGTGGGCTTCCTGGGTCCCGTGAGCCTCCCTTCTCCCTCCCTCTAGGAAGAACTAGAGGAAGTAGCTATACAACACTGTCTACAACTGTCACACATCATTGCTATTTGCTCTGCATTTCCCAGATGTTCCATTCTGTTGCTGCCTCTGCTATGTAGAGATTTGCAGACCACACTAGGTGAAAAATGAAACCACATGCATTTCTGTTCTACCTATAGTTAGCTGTGCTTTCATAGGCTGGCATTCCATTCAGAGTTGTAACTCATCTCTCTTCATCTCGAAGGTTTTACTGTTCAACACCAAGCCACGCTGGCAAACATTAGGCCATCTACCAACCCCTGGAAGACCTGGCTGTAGATATCCGTATTTCCCTCCACTAACCACAGACCAGCCTCAGAAGTCCCATCACCTCACACAGTCCCCAACAACGGCTGGAAGCTCCTCGTGTGCCTCGGCAGAGAACCACTCACCTGTCTGCTCCACCTCAAGGGAGCCCTGTAAAAAAAAAAGCTGTTTTCTTCTCATTCCAAGACTCCATGCTATCACTGTGAAAGCCAAATGTTTTTCAAAACAAGTAAAAACTCAGTATTTTTAAAAACTTCGCTGCTGTGGCAGTGCAAACAGCATTCATTTTATTGCTCAACTTCGGCATGGGCACATACATACATACATACATAGTTAATTTTTAAAAACCATTTATACAGATGTTATTGATAAAGCTCATGTAACAAATGAGTGAAAATACAAAGAATATCAAAGCTAAAACATTCTGCAATAAATACAATGAAAATGATAAAACTTTGTTTTTAAAGTCAGTTTGAGAAAAGGAAGAATATTACATAAAGTGAACTAATTACATCTAAAATAAGCAACTCAGCATTTGGTACAATCATCATCCTAGTGTGAGGACATTAACCACCACACGTAGCCGCTGACAGCAAGCTGCAGCTGAAAGACAAGGTGCTGCCGACCCTGCAGGCGCTGGAAGCACCTAACACCATCACCATCAGTGCTACCCGTCCAACGCACTGAAGTTCAGAGCAGATTTAGTGTTGTCAAAGAAAGCAAATTACAACGGATTTAGGAGACAAGGAATTTGTGCTCTGGCCTTTAGATGGGGGTGGGAGCACTGTAAAAATACAGGGCAACGAACTGCAAAACGATGTACAGGATCCATAGCACTACCTTAAAGCTTTCTGCCAAGAAATAGTGACCTCCTAACTATCTGAGGACTACAAAGTATCCACTGGTCAGAATTAAGCTTTCCTGATGGAAAGAGGGATGCTGAGACAGCGCAACTAGAGGAAGGATACGCAGAAACATATAAATATTCACATTAAACACAAGGCAAGTCCAGGTTCAACGACACTGGTGTTTTTTTTTTTTTTTTTGTTGGCTTAGCACCTATTTGGAAGTAATCAGGTAATGTAATTTTGAAATTGAAATCTAAATCATGTTTTCGGATGTCATGTGCTACTGCAGACTGTTACATAGGGTGATCTCCTTTAAAGCTCTTGTCAAGTCATTGTTATAAAGTTAAAAGGCACTCAAAGAGATGGGATTTGCCTGCTTTACACTGCATGGAAAAACCACTAAAAGTAGCATCTCATTATCACTGCATCCCAGTCAGTTGTGGTCCTCTCCCCCTGGAGACAGGGTCTCAAAGTAGCCTCAAACCCATGTAGACCAGACTGGTCTTGATCTCCTCATCCTCCTGCCTCTGCCTCCTCAATGATAGGATTACAGGTGTCAGTCACCAGGCTTAGTCACAATTTCTATCAAGTGTTCTTCATGTCCTTGTGTCCAAGCTCATCAAAATTTTCTATTTTTATTTTACATCATGTTTAAAAATAATAGTGCGTTGTTTTGGATGGTTGAATTTAAAATCCAATGTGATTTTAGATGGTTACCATCCCTCACCCCAGAATTTTGGTTACCTTCTGGATCATGGGATGAGCCACACACCTTAAAAACTCAACCTGAACGCTTGGAAGTCAGCAATGTGGCAGCCAGGGCTCCACTCCCTTACTTCTAAATGAACTCTTCAGTTTTAGAGTAAATTGTACAATAGACTTAGAGTCACTCTCACTTGAGGCAAGATCTGCTATGTAGCTCAGGCTGGCATTGAACTTGAACTACTCCCCCTGCCTCAGCCTCCCAGGAGCAGGATCACAGGCATGGCCAGCACACCTGACTTCACTCATGTACAACATTCCCTGCCCACCATGCCCACTGCCACCTCCAGTTCTTCCAGTGAGGTAATAGCAGGGCTCTCTAAGCTAAACAATCTTTAGAGCAAAAATTTTCCTTTTAGAAACTTAATTAAAATATAAGTTAGATGTACTTATTAGAGACTTTGGTTTATAGAAATAGCATATAAAAGACAAGCTGACCCAGCAAAGAATGAAAACCCCATCACATGCAGAGAAGCTATAAAAATGCAGTATTTCAATTTAAGATGAAAGTAAATCCAAAATACCCGATCCTCTTGATTCAAGAACATGAAGATTTTTTTCTTTTTAAAAAGCTAGTCTTAAAAACAGGGAGGATAGCAAATAAATTCAGTTTAAATGGTTGTATTAGGAATTTCCAAGAAAGTCACACTTGAAAAATATAAAACCCCACCTAAGCTAGGGTGACCCACACATAATGCAAAATATAACACTCTGCTATAGAAAAACACAACTAAACATGTAAATGGCTTAATTTCATAAAGGTAATGATTCCTTTAGCCAATTGTTTACAAAGGTGGAACAATTCAAAATAATTTTATTTAGGTTTTACAAAGAGCAAGTATAGGAGCTGTTCAAAAATCATGTATTCAGTCAAAATGAAATGTGATGTGTACCGACTGCTGGAGTTGTCTTGCTGTGCGAAGAGACGCGAGTCTGTGAAGCAATTTGGATAGATAACCTTTTATAAAAATAGTAGTAGTCTTTAAGTGTAGAATACTGCCTAACTCTGGAAACGCAGGGAGTCAGCATTCTTTAGGTTCAAGGTATTAATTTTTAAATAGCAGCTGAGTGTGTCCTCATGGCAAAGCATAAAGACCTTTATTTTTCCTTGAAAAGGAATTTCAAAACTGTCCTTTCCCCTCAGTGTCCTAGAATCTAAGGGGCAGGGGAGGGGGCTGCCCTGTATTCCAGCGTTCTCTGAAGCGCTGCTGAAGGAGGCTGTCGGCCCGGGGATAAATAAGAGTTCTAGGTTAAGTCCTTGGCGCTCATCATTCCACAGCAAATCCACATGTTTCTTCGATGGCTGTTAGCAGCTTTTCATAGAGCTTTTCATAGCTTTCATAGGGCGGAATGTCTATTCGATTGAAGCTGTGAATAAGCAAATCAGACTTTATCATTTGTTCAAAACTAGTCAACAGACACTGCAAGTATGCCGTTACACAGCACAGTGGTCTTGGTCTTGATGTCACAAAGTTAGAAGCCAGCAATTCTCTAACGCAGACATCATCACTTTGGGTTTGCTTACTCATTTCTGAAAAACTTCAATTTTTAAGGCACAAAAAAAGAAGTGCTCATCATTTCTCTTAAGGGTCCACTTATGCGCGAGAAGAATAAATGAAAAATCAAATCTGTTTAGAACTATCACCTACCTGCACTGACAGAGGAAAAGCTACAAAAATAACTCACCAAGTGTGGGCTTTTGGCAAGTTGTTCGTGCAGGCATCAATCTGGTGTATGGTAAAGAGCCGTGGGCCTGCAGCACCTGCCAGTGAAAAAATGTGGGTCATATCACAGCAGGTACATACATCCATCTTCAACACCTCAAAATAAACTAGAACCACAGAATTGGGGAGCCCCTTGTATCCATGTACATTAACCTGGTTTTGAGATTGTAAGTGATGTGGGATAAGGCCAGGTGCTATAACATCAGCATTGCAGTCTAAGAGACCTTACCTGAGGTCCTTCTGTCAACTGTATGCCATACAACGTCCACATCCCAGAGAGCAGGGCAAGTGCAATGCAGAACACATTCTGGTTTGCTTTTTTACTGTTTTGAGACAGCATCTCTCTATGTAGCCTGGCTATCCTGGAACTTGCTCTGCAGACCAGGCTGTCCTGGAACTCAAGAGATCCACCTGCCTCTGCCTCCCAAGTGCTGGTATTAGAGGCACAGAATACCACCACCAGACTTACTTTTTTAAAAAAAAAATTTGAAATAGGGTCTTTCTGTGTCGTCCAAGATGGCCTTAAACTCAAGATCCTCCTGCCTCAGCTTCCAGAGGGTTGGGATTATAGGCATATGCTATTATGCCTAAAATACTCATATTTGAATCATATTTAAAAAGATGACAACCTAATGCAAATTTAGGCTTTATAACTCAAACTGAGTTGAGCAAAGAGTAGCAGTCTACAGGATGCACTTCAGTCAGTACACATTCCCCATTCAAACACCCAAGAGAACTACAATGCTAAGCTCCCCAAACAGGGAAGGGCAACACAACTTCAAGTAACTTTTGCCAGGCTTTCCGAGTGCTCTGTGGGCAATCACTGATGAGTTATGTACCGGTCTCACTTTGCGGTTCTCCCTCCTCACCAGCAGCTTTGAAAATGAAGAGCTTAAAGGTAAAGGAAGCAATGGCCACCAAATGAAGCACCACAATCATTAGCAATGTTACCAACTCAACTAAAACTCAAACAGCTCATTCAACAGAAAAAGATTCTGAAAATTGAAGGCAGTTGTAAATCGATGCTCTGAAGCCAGGCAGTAAATTCTGACCTAACAGATGGTGTTCACAATTTACGATGCCTCCCTCTATTAAAAGAAAAGTGGAGGAGGCATCCCAGGTGCATAAAGGTGACCAGAGAGCGGAAAGCAGAGCGTCAGCACACGTGTTTCTACATGTAACACCCATCACAACCACAGAAGCCTTCAAAAAAGCTTCTCTAGAAAGAGCTGAGACAGGAGGTACAAAAGAGCGAGAGTCAAAGGAAATATTTATAACCACTGCGCTTATTTTTTTAAATATTTATTTATTTATTATGTATACAATATTCTGTCTGCGTGTATGCCTGCAGGCCAGAGGAGGGCACCAGACCTCATTACAGATGGTTGTGAGCCACCATGTGGTTGCTGGAAATTGAACTCAGGACCTTTGGAAGAGCAGGCAATGCTCTTAACCACTGAGCCATCTCTCCAGCCCAGCCACTGCACTTATACAACAGCAACATACACCAAACGCTGCTACCTCACCCTATCCTCCTACCCCTGCCAGAGCAGATGCCAGGTACCTCCCCTGCCCATCCCTCAGTCCCTCACCTTGTAGTGCTTTGAAGCCCTGCAGAGGCACTCGAGAGGACCCTGTCACAAACTGGAGTAGCCGCGCCCGTCGCTCTTCATCAAAGAACTCCACAGCTTTCCAGAACCACTTGACAACATTGCTGTCTGGTGTACAGTGTTTTAACCGGGTGTTGACCTTCCAGTCACTCACATCAATTTTGCCAAGTCCACAAATAATGAGCTGTTGGAAATATTTGCAAGAGTGGTCAGCAGTGGACACCAAAGTCCTCTGAGATTTTCAGTGAGGATACCCTCAAGTGGCACACACCACCTGGAAATCTTTTCAAAGCGTACCCAACCGACCTCCATGCTGCAGATTCTGTGTATGTCAGGGCAGTCAGGTCTGTACCACCTGACCCTGGGGGGGTCTGTCAATCACTGCAATAGACTCTCACAAAATTCAATAGTTTCAAAACAGAATTCTAAAATCTTAAAAAACTAGACAGAAATCATGTGTTTTGCTCCTTGACATCCTGACACAGTCAATACATATGGACTGTACAAAATTATTTTGATACCAATAACACATCTCTGTAGAGACTAATACTAATCTTTATACGTATAATGTAACATGTTTACTTGATTCACTTAATTGTGTGTGTTCATGACCACATGCCACAGTCCACAGGTGGAAGTCATAGGACAACTTTCAGGACTCATTTTTCTCCTACCATCTAGGTCCTAAGAAATGAACTCAGGTCATCAGACTTGTTGGCAAGTGCCCTCACGTGTTAAGTCACCTTGACAGCCCACCATCTAATGTTTATAACAGTAAATTATGAGAGTTTATAAGTCATAATGTAACCTGTATAGATTTCATATACTTGATTTTGATAATCTAGCATTAAGTATTAAAATTATATATATCTTTCTAAAAATTTACATAATTTCAATAGTGATAAAACTATACTGTAAGTCTCACCCCTACCAAATAAAATCCGCCCCCTAAAAAGCTTTCATATGTTTCTTTTTTTTTTTTTTCTTTTCTGTTTTTTTTTGAGACAGGGTTTCTCTGTAGCTTTGGAGCCTTCCTGGAACTTGCTCTGTAGACCAGATTGGCCTTAAACTCACAGAGATCCATCTGCCTCTGCTTCCAGAGTGCTGAGATTAAAGGTGTGCATCACCATTGCCAGGCCCACATGTTTCTAAAACAGTGAATTCAGACCACAAAAGATGCCTCCAAAATCCTGTCCTTCAGAAGAACATCATGTACAATGCAAACTCCTGATTTACAATATAATCAGATTAAAAAATCAGATGCACTCCACTTGGCCACTCTCTGTGCGCCCCCTTCCCTTTGGTCATTTCATTATTCAATCACAGAAGGAATGGGGATAACACTGAGTCAACCAATTGCTTGCAAACAGGTCTATAAGAGACTAGCAGGCCTGGCAAGATGGCTCAGTAGCTAAGAGCACTTGCTGCTCTTCCAGGGGGAAATAGTTTACCAAGGTGGATGGCTACAAACACCTATAACTCCAGGTCCAGGGAATCTAAAATCTCTGTTGCCCAGGGTACCTGCACTCCCATACATATATCCACATGCAGACACACACAAACACTACACATAATTAAAAAATAATAATATATATGAATACAGCCAGTAATATTAATAAATAAAATTATTTAAAAATGATTTGTAGGCTTCAAATAAGTGTGCTCTTTCCTAACCACTAGAAAAATTGGTAGAATAAAACCCTTTTTATATACTTTTCTTTAGACAGAGACTTGATATGTAGCCCAGGCTGGCCGTGAATTTTTGATCTTCACATCTCAGTCTGAGAGCTGTATTTATTATAGCCATGCACCACCACATCCAGCAGTCTATTTCTTTCATGAAAGTCAGTATTAAGTTGGATGTGTTTCCTGTGGTACTCTAAAGGTTGGCTTCACACAGAGGGGAACACTAAGAGTTCAATACAGAGCTAATTTTTTTTTTAAGATTTACTTATTTATTACGTACACTGTTCTGCCTGCATGTGTACCTACACCCCAGAAGAGGGCACCAGATCTCATTATAGATGGTAGTGATCCACCATGTGGTTGCTGGGAATTGAACTCAGGTTCTCTGGAAGAACAGTCAGTGCTCTTAACCGCTGAGCCATCTCTCCAGCCCCAAGACAGAGCTAATTACTTGTTTTTCTATGGGTGTTTGAAAAGGTCTAGGGATGGCTTAATACTGCATAATTTATCCTATTTCATTTCTTTTAAATGCTTTCTAGCAAAGTGAGCACAAATCCAGCTGAATTGAGTATTTTATTCAAATGTTAAGAGAAAAAGTAATGGAATTATACTTAAATAAGCCAATTAAATCAAGAAATGACAAAAATTGGGAAGAAGGCCACACAGCAAGAAAAATCAGTGGGTAAACACTCTTACAGAACCACATAAAGATGCAAAGAGAGAACTGACTTCACAAAACTGCCCTCTGACCTCCATAGATGAACCATGGGAAGAATTCTAATTGGGAAGAATATTTATGTGACATGAAAAGAGAGGCCAGGGATGACAAGTAGCTTAGCTAGGGAAGTACATGAATCCCTGGACTCAATCCCAGCATTCAGAAGGAAGCGGAAGGATAGAAGTTAAATGTCATCATCACTTTAATCTCAGCACTCAGGAGGCAGAGGCAGGCGGATCTCTGAGTTCGAGGCCAGCCTGGTCTACAGAGCAAATTCCAGAACAGGCTCCAAAGCTAGACAGAGAAACCCTGTCTCAAAACAACAACAACAACAAAAAAAAAAACCAAAACAAAACCCAAAAGGTCATCCTCATCTATGTATTTAGATCCACTTTAGCTACAAAGAAGGAAAAGGAAAATATAAATTAAGAATGTTTCTCAAGGGGGCTGGAGAGATGGCTCAGAGGTTAAGACCTCTTCCAAAGGTCCTGAGTTCAATTCCCAGCAACCACATGGTGGCTCACAACCTGGTCTGGTGCCCTCTTCTGGCCTGCGGGCATACACACAGACAGAATATTGTATACATAATAAATAAATAAATATTTAAAAAAAAGAATGCTTCTCAACAACAAGGGACTAGAGAAATGGTTCAGGCTTGGAGAACTTACTGCACCTGCAGAAGAGTTAAGTCTGGTTCCTAGCACAAATGTCAGGCACTAACAATCACCTGTATTCCAGTTCCAAAAGATCTGATTTCTCTGGTCTCTGAGGCTACCTGAACCAATGTGCATACACACACCCCATCCTCCCCCCTCCCTATTCACATACACATAAATAAGAAAGACTGCTTGCTACCCACAGAAATTCTAAAGGCCAAAATATTTTCCTGCAAGAATTCTCAGGCTGTTGAAGCATGAAACTCTGAAAGCATTAGAAAGCACCACTAAAGCCAGCAAGAGAGTTCCCAGACTTCCTCAGTGCACCACATTGTATCAGAGTAGTAACCCACTGACCTCCAGCTCCTTCTCATCAAATGTCTTCAGCAGATGCTGTGGAATGACTTCATTAAATCCCTTCTGCAGTGCCAGGAACTGAGCTTCTATGCCTCGGAGAAATCTCCAGTTTACATAAAGCCTGTAAACATTGGGCAGGGGCATCATGTGACTGCATACATTCAGATTTGGTAATTATCATAAGTATCTATTTCAGCAACACTTTAAAGCAGCTATCATCACAATTTTAGTCCAACAGAGCTGAGACATAGGCACGCTGCAGAGTCCTGCTCATAGGCACAAGACCCTGGGTTCAATCTCCAGTTCAGAAGAAAAGCAAAATAAAACAAAAAAATTTAGTCTAATGTCTAAAAAAGTTTAAGACTAATAGGGACAAATGGATCCTAAGTGTGGAGATAATTCAACATACTTAAAAAGTGGTACCCTTCCACCATTAGCTAGCAGCATCAATGAGGGTCTCTTCAAACCAGGCCATATTGTAACAGATTTGTAATCCCAGTAACTAGGAAGGCTCAGAGGGGATCGAAAATTTAAGACCAGCCTGGGCTATAAAGTGAGTTCAAGCCAGATTGGACACTCAGTGAGATGTCTTAAATTTAAAAGAATATAGAGGAGGGTATACAGCTCAGTGACAGAGTCTTCCTGACATGTAGGAGGCCTTGCATTCAGCCCCCAGAACTGCTGACTGACTAAAAAACTCTTCAAATCAGAGAACTTTCTAGTAAACAGAAAGTCCACTAGAACTCAGGGTCTGAAGTTCAACCCCTACCACCAAAATTATTTCATTATAATAATGTTAATAAGTCATTTAAAAAAGTTTTTAATGCTTTTTTTTTTTAAATCACATTCATTGGATTTTGCCTGCATATATGTCTGTACAAGGGTATCAAGTCCCCTGGAATTACAGGCAGTTGTGAGCCACCATGTGGGTGCTGGAAATTGAACCCAGGTTCCCTGGAAGAGCAGCAAGTGCTCTTAAGCACTAAGCTGTCTCTCCAGCCCCAATATTTCTTTCTTAATTTATACGACACACGTCAACAAGAACAGAGAGTCCAATCAATTTACACTGACCATTCCCAGGGCAGGGTCATTTATGAGCTCTGTCCGTTTATACAAGAGAGCAGGAAAGGAGGCAGGGAGTGAACTAGCAAAAGCCAGAGCAGGTGTTGCTAGAGCAATCAATGCTCACTGCTCCCCAGGGGCTGTGAAATTGTGGAAGAGGGCAGCCTGCATGAATACTATTATCTTCTGTGAAACTTTCCTTCTACCTTTTAGATTTTATTTTTTGAGAAAGGGTCTCAACTAATAATATATGTTTTAATATGATTTGCATGATGTATAAATATGGGTATTATTGGGTCTCACAGGCTGGTTATAGGACAGCTAAAGAAAGAGAGTTGACTTCACAAAACTGCCCTCCGCCCTCCGCATATGTTCTCTTGCCTCCTGAGCTCACAGGTATGTACCAACATACCCAGCTCGAGAACATTTCTACAGTTTAACTAAACATCCATATTCATACTTAGGTGCAAGTCTAACACTCTCTTACAGAATGGAGTTGCTTGGTGGAGCCTGGGATGCCCAGTGTTTCACTTCAATCAGAAGTATGCAGCAGAAATCAAGTTAGCCAAAAGTATGCACAGACCTTCACAGAATGGAAATGAGAGATGGCGCAGCAGTTAAGTGCACTGGCTACTGTTCCAGCAGACATGGATTTGATTCCCAGCACCTACATGACAACTCACAACCATCTATGAATTCTAGTACCAGGGAATCTGATGTCCTAATTAGACCTCCATGGGTACCAGGCATGTACATGTTACATAAACCATACATGCAAAAAAAACCCACTCATATCCAAACAAAATCAAACAAACAAAACAGGCACAAGTCAAGCATGGTGGCACACACCTGCTATTCCAAGATTTGGGAGGTAGAGGTAAGAGAATCAGGAATTCAGGGTCATTCTCAGCTACACAGTAAGTTAAAGGCCAGTATGGGCTACATGAGACCCTGTCCCTAAAAGGGGTAGAGGGGAAGCCTAGCAGCTTCTTTTGCATTTTGGAATGTCAACACCCCATAAGAAAGAAGCCTCTCTTACTGAGAGAAAGACCAAAGAAGGGAGCAGCCTTTGATAGCACATAGGAGACCAGTGAGCTCAGGTAAAGCCAGTCATCTGAACCATCCTAGTTGAAGCCCACACCTTGGTCTCTGAGCCCCAGCCGATGGCTTATGAAGCAGCAGTACACCATACACACTGTTCTCTACCCAACTACCACGCCAGAAATAATGGAACTAGTCAAGGGTGGGCTTTTTGTTTGTTTCTCGAGATGGATTTTCTCTGTGTAGACCCCTGGCTGTCCTGAAACTCACTCTGTAGACCAGGCTGGCCTCAAACTCAGAGATCCACCTGACTCTGCCTCCCAAGTGCTGGAATTAAAGGTGTATGCTACCACCAACTGGCTGTGCCACCATGCCTGGCAAGAGTGGGTTTGCCTGGCAAGAGTGGGTTTTTTAGGTTATTAAGTTCCACGGAAGTCTGTTGCAATAGTAAGCAATATTTCCTAAACACTTAGATGTTTTCCTATATTGATGTACTAATATTTTTTTTTAATTCAAGTGTTTACCTGACATATTCTTTTTTATTTTCTTCAGTAACAGGGATACTTTTGCCATTTGGTTTGAGTTCATGCTGAATAATTTCGCCATATGCATTATGTTCAACACAGAAGGTATGGTCCAGAACACCTGTGATATCATTTTCACTGGATAAGAAAAAAAAAACATGCACAGACATGTACACTGGTAAAATATCCATACACATAAAATAAGAAATATCTTAAAAACCTTTGTAAGTAACAACATGCTCTGGAGATATCTTAGTGGTAATGTCCTTGCCTAGTAGTCACAAGGCACTAGTCTCCCTAACTTTCAAAAATCTGAGATGTGTAGGAGAAGAGGGATGGGGGCTAGGAGGTATGACTGGTTCTATTATAAACCACAAACCACAAGTCATAAAGTTAGCATTTTCTATGCATATTTCAAATTTAAAAAAGTATATTAGTTTTGTAGTGTTTCTTTTGGTTTTACTGTTTGTTTTTAAAAGTGTATTATTATTATCATCTTACATGTATGGGTATTATGTCTATATGTATGTCCATGCACCATGTATGTGCCCAGTACTTGATGAAACCAGGAAAAGGCTATGGATCACCTGAAATGAAGTTACAGGTGGTTGTGAGCCACCATATAGTTGATGGGAATCTAACCTAGGTCCTCTGAAGAGCAGATGCTACTAGCCACTGACCCACCTCTCCAGCTTTTGCTTTTGAGATAGCATGCCAATATGTTTTGGAGGCTGGCCTTGACTCCAGGATTCTCTTCAGCCTCCTACGTGCAGGCTTGATAAGGAAGAACTATCAAACATAGCTTGTATTTTTAAGATTTACTTTCACTATTAATTGGAGATATGTGTCTATGTGTGTGTGCAAGTGCTCAAAAAGGTTCCCTGGACATTCTGCTCTTTACTGCTGAGCCATCTCAGTAGTTTCTGTATGTGCTTATATGACTTTATGTAGACTGTGTGGGTGCAGGTGGCAGTGAAGGCTCAAGAGGGCATTGGATCCCTGAAACCAGACTTGTCAGTTGTGAGCTGCCTCATGAAGAGTCCTGGGACGTGAACCTGGGTCCTCTGCAAGAGCAGTTAGTGCTGTCAACCACTGAGCCTCTCTCCAGCCCCTAGCTTGTATCTTTTGAAAGGTTCAGATTCTAGCTATGCTAGACAGATGTAAGATTCAATACGTACAGTATCCACACCAAACTATTATGAAGGTCTGGATCAACTAACTCCATGTCGTCTAAAGTAATTGACTTCCCAAGCAACTGTTTATAAAAAGGCAATGTGAAGCCACCATCAATATAATGTCCATGGAACACAGCCATTCCCATTATTCGTCCAACAAAGTGGAAATAAGATAAATGTTCCTGAAATGGAAAAAAAAGGACATGATATAAATACTCAAGTTAGAAACTACCCAGGAAATTGTCTTAATAAAAAGTAAATATTTAAGCAACATTTTTCCTTTCTTCATCTCCTTCCCTCTCCCTCCTTTCTTGGTTGTTTGTTTCAGAGACAGGGCCTCACTTGTAGCTCAGGCTGGCCCTGAATTTAGGATCAGGGCCTTATTTTCGCCAGTGCTGGGATTATAGATATGGGCCACCACGCCAATCTCTCTCTCTCAAGGCAAAGGCCCTTTAAAAAAATGATTCCTTTACAACCTGTGCAAAGCTACTTGCACATACTTTTCTCTGAGTATCTTGTCAAGGAATAAAGCTTTTAATCCTAACACCCTTGCTTCCTTGACTAGCCAGATACTGAACTTCAGGACACTGGATCTAAGAAATGGATCTGGTGTCACACCTCGATCAGTCTGTCAGCTACTGTTTAAACACAAAGTAATTAGTCCCTGTAGGACTAGTCCACACTTGGACATACAAGGATAAGAACAGTATGCAGCAGGAGTACCTATGAGGAGGACATCAAGGTGATGAGACCCAGGAGTCTGTGTCCATTCCTGGGAAGCACCCAGCAAAGGTCAACTGATAATCAGATGGGCTGTAGTGAGCTGCCCAGGAAGCAGCTTCACCTCCAAGTCTCTTTAATAAAGAATTGCCTGATGAGCCAACACCACCACATATAGACACAACTGTTCTTTTGCCATACTGTTTGGTTGATTGGACAGCTGTATTTTTAAAGTCTTTTGCTTTTTCATTTAGTAATTTCTTTCATTTAAAGTAATTTTTAATCTCATCTTAAAACATGTTTTATCTTAAAATATTTATTTTTAAATAAACACATGCTTTCTTTAAAATATTTAAATAAACATAAGCAACAAGAACATTAAAAGTTACCCATAATTTAACACCCAGAGTAAATGATTATCAGTTTTATGACATAGACCTTTTAAGGCTTTTTTCTTATATATCTACCAAAGCTGTATCACATTATTATATAACCTTTCACTTAATATCACTTAACATAAAATGAACACATGTCTTTATCACACATCATCTTAATCTCATGCTCCTTAATTTCACAGTATGTCCCTGTGCCCCTGTGTGAAAACTTAACAGATTTAATTAGAAAGCAGAAAACTAGAAGTAACTACTAACTTTTGGAGGGGAAGCTGGTTCTGGAGATAAACCTAGGGTCTTATAAAAGCTAGTCAAGCTTACTACCCCTGAACAACAGCTCCAGCACTTAACTTTTAAGTATTTAATAATAATGTATTACAGGATTAAAAAAGCATAATTAAATGCTTAATATATAGGGTCTCAAGTAAGTCTTACAACCTTTTTCTAAGGTGCAAAATCTTTTTATTAATATTTAACAATAAAAATAATTAAGGTTTAAGGCAATGAACTTGCTCACAATCACAAAGATAGTAACTTATATAACAAGAATATTATTCTACATCTTTTGGAGCTTTTTCTTTTTTTTTACAGAAAAGGTTTCCTACAACAGTCGAAGCTACCCTATAGCTGTGTGTAAGGGCCAGGCTAGCCTAGAACTTGTGTCATCTCTTGCTTTGGTCTGGAAAGAACTCGAATCTCAGGTAGGAACCTACACACCCGGAGACTCCATGTCTTTCTAAGTTCATCAGCTATGTCCTTTGGTTCCTTCCTGTAGCTGGAGGCCACTTGTTCATTCCCAGCTTCCCAGAACCAAAACAGTCACACAGAAACTGTATTAATTACAACACTACTTGGACAATACCTTAAGCATATCTCTAACTCTTAATCTTAAATTAACCCATTTCTGTTTTTATATCTTACCACAAGGCTTCCTCTGGTGGCTCCATGGCACCTCACTGACTCCACATTTTCTCTCTCTATATCTCTTCCAGCCTGGCTATATTCTGTTAAGCCATTGCCCGAAAGCAGCTCCTTTATTCATTAACCAATAAAAGCAACACATGTACAAAAGGACTTCCCATCCCATCTTTACTTGGTCTTACTATGCAGTTCAGTCTAGCCTCTATCTTCTAAGTGACATGATACGCCACCAGACACACACAACTAGACCCAGATAAAGAAGAACCACTTATTTTATTTTATGTCATAATTTAATCAGTCTTCTGTATGGAAAACTATTCTGTGTCCATTGGGGGATAACCATTAGTAGATACCCAAGTGTCTGGGACAGTTTTCAAGAAGAGGAACTGCTGAACCAGAGGGTGTGGCCAGGATCAGGCAAGTGACATTTAAAGATGAGAGCAGAGGGTCCCAGCACATTCACACTGCTGTGATCCCAGTTCTTACCGGATTAACTGCAGAATCAGGATTGATCTGCAACGTGTAGATATCATCTCTAGAATACTGGAAGAGACCATAGTAAGGATTCAACATTTCATGCGACAGGAGATACAACCATTCCCTAGGGGAAAAGATAAAGGAATCTGTTAGTTGAGCTATGCCATTACTCACCCTAGTGTCATTTCTCAATTTTTAAAGTTACTGTTATGGGTTTGCATGACATGTGTGAGCACATGTGACATGGGGACATCCAAGGACAACCCTGAGGAGTCGGTTTTCTCCTTCCACTTTTATGCGGTTTGGGGACTGGCCTCAGATTGCATGGGGAATGTTTTAACCTACTGGACTCTAACCAGGCTGGCCTAAACTCACAGAGATTCACCCGCTTCTGCCTCCTGAGTGCTGGGATCAAGGACCTTGCTCCATTCTGTCCAGTTTCCACAATTCTTTTAAGTTAAAAGAAAACACAATACTAGCTGTGGTTCTATTAAATCACAACAAAAAATAAATGTTTAAAGACCAAATAAACTTATTATTATACAGTTATTGTTCATAATTTGGAGCAATTTTATTATACTTTAGCATCAGTGAGTATAGCAGTTTAGCTGCTCATGAGATGCTGTAGCCCTATAATTATCACTTTAAAAGCTAAATAAAATTTATAGCCCGTGATAAATAAAAGGAAGAATGTGTTTTCATTCAAAACATCTACTTCATCTAGAAATCTACTTCTATCAGGGCAGATATATACTAGTTTCATAAGGATACATAAAACAATAGGCAGGCAGATCCCTGAGTTCAAGGCCAGCCTGGTCTACCCGGTGAATTCTAGGACGGTCAGGGCTACACAGAGACTGTGTCTCAAAACAAAACAAAACAAAACAAAACAAAACAAAAAAACAAAACAAAACAAAGAAAAAAATAAAAAGAAAAAAATCATACAGCATGAATTTATTCTTACTTTTTGGACTGTGGAGTGTTTTGTGGTACTGTTCTAGTAAAGAGATGTCAATGCCTATTACATCCTCTATTGTATCAAGTCTAAAGTAAACCATGAGATAAACCCAGAGACCCCCAAACGTATAGGTAGACACACAGGTCATTCTGTGGGGGTGCCCCATACCACATCTCTTCCTTCTCTGTTGTACTGGAGATAGATTGTGGAATATGGAAAAAGAGTCTATCAGTTTGAGGGGGTAAGAGAAGGGCTAGAGTGAAGAGGAGGGAAGCGATGCAACTATAGTTTAGTTAAAATTTTTTAAGAAAAATAACCTAAACAGACAAAAATATTAAAATCCTACAAAAACATAATGGTTATGAAAAAACTATAAAGAAAATGTTAATTTTTAGATAAAAGGCCGATAAACACAACAGGTACTAGTAAGGCACTAACAATTACAGGACTTGGTGAAAACACAATTTGCTTAAGTTGGACTTACAACAGTAGAACCAAGACAGTCCACACAGTATTTCAGCTCAGGGCTATTGTTCCATTACATTTATTTATATAAAGTAAATGTCACACCTTGATGGGAAAGCTCAGCCAATCACATTTGGCTAGGGTGTGGCCACCTGGGGCCAGAGAAGAAAAAACGTGGATTCAAGTAAACCCCACCACCTTCTGGCAGGTAACAGTTATTACACCTACAGGTAAGATTTATTTTGATTAAAAAAAAAGAGGAAAATGTTGGACGATTTAACCATTCACGGCTTTCAGAGCTTTTTCACTTACACTACGGGTGAGGTTTTACAAGATTCTTATGATCTCTCCATTGCTTGGCTATTTCTTGGGCTTACCTTTTTTCTCGTATTCGGCAGTTTTTTCACAATATGGTTTGACAATAGGAAAATGATGCAGTCTTTACAGACAGAATCCAGGATTCTTAGAAAAGAGGTTGAAAATTTAAGGAAGGACACGGCCGTCTTGGATGATAAGTTTCAGTCGGTTGAGGTAATTTCAAAAACAATTTAGACTGACACCAACCTCCTCAAGAAAGAGATTGGAGTTTTCAAGGAGGAGACTAGATCTTTTGTCTAATATGACTTGGTCAACCTGGCTAAATTTTGAAAAGGTACAGTCTAATATTAATTCATTTAAGGAGAGATTTGCTGTTCTGGAGGAGGAAACGGCTGATTTGGCTCATAAAATCCAGTCTATGACTGTAGCTGCTGAAACATTATTTGAGAGGATTCAAACTACTAAATGTATTAATTGGACTTTGTCAAAAGGGTATGATTGATTGATAGAATGTCCATCCAAGAAGGTACTATGCGTGCCATAAGGATTATGTCCAAGGATGAGATATTATCTCTAATGAACAGACTTCATACCTTAGAATCCTCAATAAAGGCATTAGAGCATAATACTGGACAGGAGATTGTCATATCCTGCTAAGACAGGGTAAGATAGTTCTGAAAAGTTTCTTGCTTTGAAAATGGTTACGTTAGATCTTAGCCAAACTTGGTTGCCTCAACACTGCAAATGAGACTTTGGGTAATTACCCAGGTAGTCAGTTGTCTCTGTCATTTGTTAAACATTTTGGAAGTTTCTTGTTAGTACTTCCTGGTTGCTCAACTAATATTACTTCCCTTCTCAGATCTTTGATGGAGTTAAAGATTAGATAATTGTAGTTACCCTCCTCATGATTTAGCTAAACTTAATTTCAATACATTATTTAGACTCCTTAAAATAAAATGCTTAGTAAAACTTTTGTTATTTGTTTCTTGCTTAATATTGGTTGCTTGTAATTTTATATTTGGTAACTGTTCCTATTGTATACAGCTGTATTGGGTTTGGTTTGATCTTATTTAGACAAAAGGGGGAGATGATGGGGAAGCTCAGCCAATCACATTTGGCTAGGGTGTGGCCGCCTGGGGCCAGGGAAGAAAAACCTGGGAATCCAGGTGCACTCTCTCTCTTCACGAGGTGTTTTGGACATCGGAACTTTTACCCTGGTCATGTGAGTTTTCCCAGTTTCCAATTATTAAATTATATTTTTTGTTTTTGAGCTGGCCTGGTTAATTCTAGCTTACTGATCGACTACGCCCATCAACACCTGGAAAAATTTTGACAGCATACATCAGAAATAAGCTGATTTAATGTACAAACAACCAATGAGTTGGACTCAATGTATGATTATGAATATATTAGAAACAGCATATAATACTTCTCTATTAAAATATTCTAAGGACCACTGTGAGATATACATGTATATGAGTAAACAAATATTGTGCGGGAGGTCCTTCTGTCTATGTGTTGCTTTATAAATAAAGAAACAGCCTTGGCCTATAGCATGGTAGGAGGAAGGTGGAGTCAGGGAGACACCATGGAGCCACAGCCAGAGTCAGACATGCCACTGTCATGTGGAGACACACAGATTAATAGAAATGGGTTAAATTAAGATGTAAGAGTTAACCAGTAAGAAGTTAGAGCTAATGGGCCAAGCAGTGTTTTAATTAATATAGTTTCTGTGTGATTATTTTGGGTCTAAGCTAGCAGGGCATCCGGGAACCAACAAGTGGCTCGCTGCTTGCAACACAAATATAGCAAAGTAAAACAAACAAAAGAACATGTCAAGGGAATCAGCATTCAGTTTAGAACTGACAGTGTAAGGCAGAGGAAATAAGATGTGCTGAAGATGAGAGACATACAAACAGAGGCTGCCAGTCCTACACAGAGTCCCGCAGGGCTTCCATGATCCTGAGAGTATTAACTACTCTTCTGACACCATAACCTCATTGTGGATTTCATCTGTATTGCAAACACTATTGAGTTTTATACTTAAATATTCATGACAAAGTTATAATAGGCACATCTTAATTTTGTTTAGTATAAAGATTCACACAGGGGCTGGACAGATGTTCAGCAGTTAAGAGCACTGCCTGCTCCTGGAGAGGACCTGGGTTGTGTTACACTGGCTTGAAATAGTTGTAACTTCAATTCCCAGGAATCCAATAGCCTTTTCTGTCCTTGGTGGGCACTGCATGCACTTGGTACATTTATACACATAGGCAAAACACACAGATTAACTTAAAAAAAAATCCGTATATCATTTACTGCCAAGACTTTACCTGGCAACCCCTCCATAGTCAAGTCCTTCTTCTCCACGAAATTTTATCATTAATCGTTTCCAGAGATCTTTTGGTCTCATTTTCATGACTTGTCTGTATGATTCCTGAGAAACAATTTTAACATATTATCATCAGGTGTTTTAGCCTCTAATTTTGAGTTCTTTTTCTCCAAATTACAAAACTAATTTAACTCATGTAAAATCTGATTTATAAATTTGGTTGATCTAAGTTTAAGTCAGAGGCACCATAGAAACTAAATATAAAGCACAGTTCTAAAAGAACATCAATAAAATAATTAGTATATTAATTACACGGACAGTTTCATTTTATTGGAGGACAGGATCAAGACAGACTCTCACAAAGCCCAGGCTGGCCTTGAACACTATAGACAATGTTGGCCTTGGTCTTGCAGAGATTCATCTCCTCTAACCCTGAGTGCAGGGTTATATAGTTAGGTATGGAGGCACATGCCTTCATCTTTTTTTTTAATAGACCTAATTTATTTTTCTTATATAAAATTCCTTTATAGTAGCCAACAGCTGGATCCTGGGTCTTCTGTACAGAGACCCTACTCTGAGTTTTATAAGATCATTTGTGCATTCCTGATAGGAAGACTGGGTGAGCACATCTCTTTCTAGAGGTCTGAGATAGCTGCAGGTCTTGGGAGATGGTATCAAAGATGGCCCTGGTAAAGCTGACTAGGGTGGCCACTGCCAATACTGGCCATCAATGGTTTCCTGGACACAAGTGCTAAGACAATGTCAGTGCCTCTACACTAAAGGTCTGTTACCTTGCTTGGGACGGTATGAATTTTATTATCAAGCTCCTTTGGTAGCCTCTGTGTACCAAGACAATGGAGATTATCTAAAATGATGAGTGTTTGAATGGCAGTGGCTACTCTTACTGTTATACTTAGCACTAAAATCAATGTCACCATTATACTCTCCATTTGCCAACAAATGCCTTCTTGAACCTGTTCCACCAGTCAGTACAAGTCTGTTTCTAAACTGCCTTAATCTTTACCTTAACCATGAAGGATACCCCAGAAAGAAGTTAATTTCAACACTGATGGATAGGGAGAATAGAGAATCTCTGGCTAGGGACTTGATTTTTTAAGATTTATTTTTATTTTTATTCATGTATGGGTATGACATAACCATATTTTAATTTTTATTCATGTGCACGTATGGTTGAGGCCATTATATTCCCTGAATCTTGAGTTACTGGCAGTTGTGAGCCATCTGATAGAGGTGCTGGAAACTGAGCTCAGGTCCTCTAGAAGAACAAGTGCTCTTAACTGCTAACCTGTTTCTCCAGCCCCCAATCTTTTCGGTTTTGACCACAAAGCCCAGCATTGTGACAGGATCTACTTTTTGTCTCAAGTCTTGCCTCCTCGACAAGCTCCAAGACTCCAACCTTGGCCATGACTGTGATTCCAGCTCCAGAGTTCACTTGCAGAGCCTCTGAAGATCTGCTTCCCAAGAACCTGGAGCTTCTGGACACTTTTAGTGCAAAAGCATCACCTACTATTTACTGTTTTCCAGGTGGGACGCTCTTTCCATCATTTTGAAATACAAATGACAACTATAAACAAGGCCAGAACTGCTCTGAGAGACAAAAATTCATAAGGAGACAGATCTCTGTGAGTGTGAGGCCAGTCTGGTCTACAGAGAGTTCCAGGACAACTAGGGCTACATAGAGAAACTATCTCAAAAATAAACAAACAAACAAACAAATAAATAAGGAAGGAAAAATTAATGAGAATACTTTAACTTCAAATCAAATATAAATCTCAAAAAATGTCTCCTTAGAAAGAGTGAGACAAAGTCCTGGCATGATGGTACATGACTTTAATCCCAGTATTTGGGAGGCAGAGGCAGGTAGGTGTTTGAGAACATACTAGTCAACATGAAGAGTTCCTGGCTACTTAGAGCTATACAGTGAAACTGTTTCAAAACAAAGAGAAAACAAGTAAAACACTAAATTTAATTTTCTTCTAGTTGAAATTAAGGCTTATATATTTACCTCAAAAATCTCCTCCCTAGAAACCTCAATACGGCAGTGGCCGGCCTGAGGTTGTTGTTGGGAAAGTTCTTGTCGCAAGATTTTTAGTTTCTGAACCAAGTCTCGTTTGTACCTTGGCACTGTCAGACACTCAGTGTCATCGGGACATAATGACACCACTTGCTGCTGTTGTTGGTCTTTCAACTGGTTCTGACGACTGGAAATAAGCAGAAGTATTATTATTATTTTTAATTTTTTCTATTTAACTTTATTTTATGTGCATTGGTGTGAAGGTGTCAGGTCCCCTGGAACTAGATCTTCAGACAGTTGTGAGCTGCCATGTGGGTGCTGGGAATTGAACCTGGGGCCTCTGGAAGAGCAGTCAGTGCTCTTAACCACTGAGACATATCTCCAGCCCCAAGCAGAAGTATTATTAAAATGCTTGAGAACATTAAGATTCCAATTCTAGATTTAAATCATACTCAGAATGTAAAAGAAATTTATCATTTCCTAAGCCTTATTGGGGCATATCATCAGTCCAATAAAATTGGTTACTGAGGTTCTATTCATGAAACCTTATGCAGATGCTAAGACCAATTGTTCAGGCACAGTTTCCTCCACATTGTCCCATCATTCCATTTAAAATTCAGGTGGGTGCCAAGCACTGTTTGTCATCTAGAGACCGTTTTTCTGGACAAATGAAACAGAAATCTGAACTGACAGCTTGATGGAGATCCTTCTTCCTACAACTGTTCCAGTCTAAAATACAGAACAAACAGTAAAGTAGCCTGTCTCCTCAGCTATATATTAGGGTGTAGGAGCCATTATATAAGGGATGATGTCTACACTGGTCAGAGGACAGTGGGGATGCCAATCTGCTCACTGTAAGGTCTCTGACAACGTCCAGAGACCTTATCACACACATTATTTTCTTGAAATATGTAAGCCTGATAAACAGAACGGATTCAAGTTGTAGTCTTTGTTCATAGTTGATTTTTAAAAGCTTCCTTTAGTTTTTAAGGTAGAATTTCTGTGATACCATTCAAAACAACAGGAATAGGGCTGGAGAGATGGCTCAGAGGTTGTTAAGAGCACTGGCTGCTCTTCCAAAGGTCCTGAGTTCAATTTCCAGTAACCACATGGTGGCTCACAACCATCTATAATGAGATCTGGTGCCCTCTTCTGGCCTGCAGACTTACATGCAGGCAAAACGTTGTATACATAATAAATTAAATTAAAAAAAAAAACCAACAGGAATAGTGTAAAGGATGAAAACAAGAAAAGGAAGGGGAAAGACCTTCCACATCAGGCTGAATTCAGATCTCAGCTTCAGCACTTTTTATGTACTTTGGGCAAGCTGTGACACTGTCTGAGGCTCCACTGTCCTTACCCATGAAGACAGACTGAATGTAGACAGCAGGAGGAATGCTTACCCAGTGCTCAGGGCACAACAAGCAGAGTCAATGTTAGTTATTTTAACCACTATGATTGACACAGTTACTTGTTGTTTATTAAATTGTAAAAAGTATGCTTTTCAAGCAAGTTTTTAAATAGGGTTTCTAAGAAGGATATTTGTCCTTGGCTAGGTGATTTACTGAGCCCTAATGACAATATTTGCAATAGTTTTATAATATCCAGAATGAGATTATTTATAATATATACACATTTAGGAGTGTATATATTATATCATTACATTAATTATATATTCATATATTTATTCAATGATGTTTATATTTTAATATATACTGTATTAATATATTACATTGATAATATATTTAACAATGTCATATCCTGACATTACATATACATAATGTCTCATATATATACATATATATATAATATGCTAAGGTCTCATATACAGGAACTATTTAACTTCATAACATTAAAAACATCTCTTTAAAGGGAGTCACCACTGTATCTCAGGAGGGATTCTGAAGGAGAGAAATGAGGACGTTGAGGGACCCACACTAGTCAGTATAGGCTGCCCTCATGAGCATGTTACACACACAAGCCTACTGCAGACTTCTAACAGGCAACTTCTCCCATTGCTTCCTCTCAAAAAACTAATTCAGGCTCTTCTTGGTTTAAATTCAAAATTCAGCTCTAAATTGTAACTTGCCCACTCTATTATTTTCTGGCTTGCATATTACCCTCTCAATGATTTGTATAAGAATCTGAATTTTTTCCTCACTTCCTAAAATGTTGAAACAGGAAGAGCAAAAATTTTAAAAAAGCCCTTAAAATCAAAGCAATCTACAAACATTTGTTAATGTGTTAATATATATATATAAAATCCATACATAATAGGTCCCTAAAATTTAGACTAATAGTTAAACTAACTTCATTTTATTATTTGACTGACAGCCAAAACATTTGCTCCAAGAACAATTTTTTTTTTTGCCATACACACACACACACACACAATCTCTCTGACTGTATGAGCTTAAAGAAATTATACAAAGTTAGAAAAACTACATTATAAGGCAGGCATGGTACCTCCATACTAGAAGTCAGGTCATTCTCTCTACCATAGATAGTAGTTCAAGGTCAGGCTTGGGTATATAAAACCCTGTCTGGAAACAAACCCACCATGGCAGAGCTATTGAATAAGGTAACAATGTATTTAGTCAGGCCTGGTAATGTAGGCTAGCTACTCAAGAGGCTAAGGCACAGGATCCTAACTTCAAGGACTGCTAAGGCCACAGAGTACAGGACCAGCCTGGGCAACACAAGGATGCCCTGTCTCAAAATAACACACACATAAAGAATAAGCTTCTTAACACATGAATAGCTAGGAAAATGAAAATTAAAGATGCCCAGTCCTCAGAAAACTGAGGGAAGAGGATAAAAAGTTCAAAGCTAACCTAGATTATAAAACCAATTCAGGAGGCCTGAGCAACAAAGATAAAATTTATCTCCAAACAAATTATCGCAAAAAACATAATTTAATATCATCATAGGCCTGTTGTGGTGACATATGCCTTTGATCTCAGCACTCAGGAAGCAGAGGCAGGCAGTTCTCCATGAGTTCAAGGCTGATGTGGGAGTTCCCTCTGTGTGCTGTGATTACCATTAATGAATAAAGAAACCGCCTTGGCCTGTTGATAGGGCAGAACTTAGGTAGGCAGGGGAAAACTGGACTGAATGCTGGGAATGGGAAGGCAGAGAGAGAAGCCATGAAGCCACCATCAGAGACGGATGCTGGAACTTTAGCCGGTAAGCCACTGCCATGTAGTGATACACAGATTAATGGAGATGGGCTAAATTAAGATGTAAGAGTTAGCCAATAAGAAGACAGAGCCAGTGGGCCAAGAAGTGATTTAATTAATGCAGTTCCTATGTGATTATTTTAGGGGTCTGGACAGCCAGGAAATGAACAAGCAGCCAAGTGGCCTGCTGCTACAAATTGGCACCCACGTGGCCAACTAAATACACGTAAAACCTGAGAGGGCTTGAAAAGGAATTCTAGATTTAAAAAAAAAATTACAGAGCTTAACACAGCTTCTTGCTGTTTGCTGACAGCATGCTATAGCTCCTTTAAGAGAGGTTTTCCCGACTTAGCAGCAGCAGCAGAAAAAAAAAAAAACGTGCTGCCATTTTAAAATGCTGTCTTTCTGGACCATGCTGCCATGAGCCAGCATGACCTCTGGCTCTTTCGGGAGACTGAGCATCTGGATGGGGTTTGTGGGCAGTGTGCTGTGGCCTGCTTGACAGCAACTTGGACCGGCTGTGTGCCTGGAAGTGGGGCAGCTCAGAGGCATAAACAGCTCTGCCATGCTAGACTGTGCAGAGCAAGCAGGCATACCATATATATCATAGTAACGGCACAGCTTAAATTTTAGACTGGGCAAGCAGGAAGTACTATATAAACCCTAGTAATGGCGCAGTTTAAGTTTTAAGAGGCATTTAGCATTTTAAAAACCGCTCCTGGACAGTAAAGAATTACAGATATGCAATAAAGACAAATCCAGATAAAAAAGACCTGTAAATGGGTCACAGTGTTGGATAAATGTACATAGGCATGGGATAGACAAGAAAAATATAGTTATAAAAAGAAGTAAAGTCTTTAAAGAGACAGAGTATAGACAGCCAAAGATTGAAAGAAGTAAACAAAGATTAAGCCACGTAAAGATGGAAAATTCACAGTCTGAATTATGTATATTATTGTATTACCTTTGAATTTTTTGATTGTGAATGAGCTAAGTACAGAGAGACATTTCATTGAATGGGCTGCTAAGCTAAACCACATGTATATTATAAAGGTATCATGACTTCCAAGTTTGGGTCTAAGGATATGTTACTTTGGAAAAGAGGTTCTTTTGTTTTCACAGATGAGAACCTGTGGATTGCTTCCAGACCAATATGGTTTGATGGAACAAGACACCCTGAAAGGTTGCTATGAACATCCCCACAAAGAAAATACTTCACTCAATAGACAGCAGGAAGCAGTTTGTAGAATCTATGCCCATATTCCCAAATATTGTCTATAAATGTTTGTTTACATTTAAAGGGGGATATGATATAGATATGAATAGTATGCATTTGTATGGATCTTGGTTTATCGATACAAATTTAAGGTTAACTTTGTTATTATATATTTCTGCTCTTGATTAAGGTATTGTGATTGTGTAGTTCATTTTAAGATGTAATGTATAATTAAGAAATATAGGAATAGTCAAGCTTGTAGTCATGTTAGATTTTCTGGATGGACAGATATGTATTTCAGATGGATAGGCATTCTTCAAACCTTTCAAAGACTATGGTATATGGCATTTAAAATGTTTTAAGAGCTTAAGACTTTTCATGACAGTGAGACACATATGCTCCTGCCAGGCTACACCAACTAATACAAGGTCAGCCTGGGTTATTCCTTGAGAATGCATCATAAAAATAAATCAACATTATAAATTTAAAGGAGTAGATACTCTTTCACATTTATTACAAAAGCACAGGTATGTCCTCTTATTTAGACTAATATTTCCATATGTACTGAATGACACATGAATCAAAACTTACTTTAAAACTAAATGTAAGTTAGCAGAGAGTCGAGGGTCTGTGAATTGTGTTGTTCTGTTGTTATGGTCAACGAAATAAACTCTGCCTGTTGCGGTATTGCGGATCTCCCATCCAGGAGGCAAAGGACCGAGCTCTTCACAATTGATGTTGCTAAGATCCCTGCAAAACAAATATACAATAGAAATACCTCATTGCTGGGCCTGCTGAGCCAAGCAAGTGTATGTGACACACAGCAATTCCATGAAGTCTGTGAAAATGTATTGTTTCAGAAACCTGAGACGTTCAGCTGGAATCTTTAATTCCCAATGGTTTCCCAAACTTGCACATTCAACACCCAGTCCCTAAATGGCCCAGAACTTATCACAGTCTGCATTTTAGTAAGTTCCTAGGCTTTAATGTAATACACATTTTGAATTCAAACAGAGCAATCACAGTACTTGCCAACATAAACTATACTTCAATATTTGTTTGACATAAAGTATTGTTTTACAAGCATCAATTGGTATTAAGAAATTTCTCTTCACTATTTTCTTTATTTATCATAAAGTTGGTGCAAACAAATATGCATGCCATGAGTGACTGTATGCTCTCCAACAAAGCAAAACTGGAAACATTACTGAAATCCTGATGCTGGAAATAATCATAGTATATTTTTTTTAGTAAGATAACTACATTGTTTTGAATTTTGAAGTCTATAAACTTCATGAAGAAAAACCTGGTAAAGACACTTAAGAAAAATGCTTTTAGACTTACTGCTGAAACAAAGAAAAACTCAAGTACTTTTAAAAGATGAGGACCACTGTTAGCACATCACACACCATAAGGATGTACAGGACTGTAAAGAGCAATACAGCTGAACACCCTGAGGTGGCTGGTGGGGGTGTGCACAAAGGTATGGAAGTTCCTAGCTCCCTTCTGACTGTTCAGAAACTAGCAACAAAATTGCAAATTTTCATCCTCTGCCCTGCTAGATCAACATCTTCTACAGAGAGACCATCCCAGAGTGCTCGAGGTATTGGTGGCTGCCATGTGAAGATGTACAGTATCTGCTGAGGTCATTTCCAACTCTCACAGATTTCTTCAAACAGTGATTGTGACTTCTGCTTTTACATCAGGCATGGTGGCATACAAAAGCAATCCTAGCATTCAAAGGCTAAGGAAATAGGAAGAGTGCCGAGTGCAAGCCAAGCCTAGGCTATACACCAATCGTATCATCTTTAACCCCCACTCCATACCTTTAATCCCAGCAGAAACAGCTCTCTCTCTCTCTCTCTCTCTCTCTCTCTCTCTCTCTCTCTCTCTCTCTCTCACACACACACACACACACACACACACCCTTTTAATCCTAGCAGAAACAGGTGAAATCTCTGTGTTCTAGGCCAGCCAGGGCTATACAGTAAAATCCCACCTCAAAAACAAGCAAACAAAAACCATACCAAATTCAAATAACAACCACACAGCCTGAGATCAATAGAGACTTTAGAAGCGAGCACCACTGTGATAGATAGCAGCCACAGAATTGGATCTTGGATCTCTAAGTACAAGAGACCACAAAGAAAATAATTAGGGTGTGTTGTTTAAGATGTTTAAGCAAGCTGGGTGGTGGTGGCATACTGCTTTAATCCCTGCACTAGGGAGGTAAGAGGCTGTGAGTTCCAGGATAGCCACAAAGAAACCCTGTCTCAAAAAAAAAAAAAAAAAGGAAAAGAAAAGAAATAAGCTGGAAAAATGAGAGATGGCTCAGCAGTTAAGAGCACTGTCTGCTTTTTAGAGGGCCTGGGTTCAATTCCCAGAACCCACATGGTATCTCACAGTTTGAAACTACAGTTTCAAAGGATCTGACAACATTACACAGATATACATAAAGACAAAACATATTAAGAGAGAGAGGGAGAGAGGGAGGGACGGAGGGAGGGAGGGAGGGAGGGACGGAGGGAGGGAGGGAGGGAGGGAGGAAGGGAGACTTAAACAAGGGCTAGAGAGATGGCTTAGTGGTTTTGAGCACTGGCTGCTCTCCCACTGGACCTGAACTTCGTTCCCAGCACCTACATGGTGCATCTGTAATTCCAGTTCTAGGGGACCCAATGCCTTCTTCTGGTCTCCATGGACACTAGGTATGCACACATGCAGGCAAAAACAAAACCAAAACCAAAACACAAGAACAAAAAAAAAAATAAGATAAATAAAAATTAAAAAACAATTATAAACTATGTAGGATAAAAATGACCTAAGAATAGCAGGAAGTAACAGCAAATGGAAGAGAACTTGTTTTGCATGTACAAGCCCTGGATTTGAACCCCATAACTGCAGTCAAACTTTTAGAAGGGGGAAACAAGGACAAGTAATTCTACTACTGATGCAATGTAAAATTTGATTTTATAGACTTTTACTTAGAATGTATAATTCTACAGTGAAACGTGGGCAAGCTTTAAAGTACTAATTAAAAGAGTAAAAACCCACAAATGACTTTTTTTATGCCCAAATGGAGAATTAACAAAAAGTTAAGTTAGAAAGCTTTAAAAAATAGCCGGGCGGTGGCACACTGCTCAAGGGAAAGGAGTTTGAGACTAGCAGGGAGCTGGGGTGAGACTATAGACAGTATCTAGACTATCTACTTAATACTGAGCTGAAACACTACCAGGAAAAGCCAAACTTTTACATAAACTGTCCTTAGAAATTAGATTTTTTTAAATCAAGAAACCCTGGGTGAAATGGATAGTTATGGCTTATATGAAGAGAACTTAAGAGCCAAGCATAGTAGCTCATACCTTTAATCCCAACACTTGGGGCACAGAGAAAAGTGGATGGATCTCTGTGAATCTGAGGCCAGTGTGGCCTATATAGCAAGTCCAGAGCTACATAGTAAGACACAGCCTGAAAAAAACAAAAACAAAACCAAACCAAGAATGTTTAAGACATGTTCTTACCTAGGCACTCGTGGATCATGCCATGTGCTCACACCAGTCTGAGTATGTAAGAAATATACCTGGCCTTGCTGTGTTGTCCTCTGTTCTGTAAAATAAAGAGAATAATGAATACACGCTCGGTTTTTCATATTCAATCAAACACCATTACATAGGATGATACTCTAATAAAATAAACATCTTGCAATTGCCAGTTTATTCTCTTAAAAAAAGAAAAAAAAGCTTCACAAATTATTTGTTCAGACTGGCATGGTGGAATATGCCTTTAATCTTAATATTCACGAGGCAGAGACAAGTAGATCTTTGTGAGTTTTGAGGCCAGCCTGGTCTACAGAGTGAGTTCTAAGCCAGCCAGGGATACTATCTCAAAACAAAACAAATCATCTCTTCAATCTCTGGAAACAATTGTATGGGTTTTTTTTTAAGGATTTATTTATGGGGGTTGGAGAGAGGGCTCAGAGGTTAAGAGCACTGACTGCTCTTCCAGAGGTCCTGAGTTCAATTCCCAGCAACCACATGGTGGCTCACAGCCATCTATAATGAGATCTGGTGCCCTCTTCTGGCATGCAAGCATACATGTAATGTTGTATACATAATAAATAAATAAATCTTAATTATAGAGTATTCTGTCTGCATGTATACCTGCAGTTCAGAAGAGAGCAACAGATCTCATTACAGATGGTTGTGAGCTACCATGTGGTAGCTGGGAATTGAACTGAGGACCTCTGTTAGAACAGTCAATGCTCCTAACCTCTGAGCCATCCCATCTCTCCTGGAAATAACCGTATAAACGGTGATGATGGGATACAGTCAACACCCAAGTAAGCAGACAGCCCAGAGGAAGAGATTAGCCACCTTAAGGAAGTTTCAACAAAGCTTTTAAAATTTCAAAAGATTTATAGGATAAGGGTTTTTTAAAAGATTTATTTACTTATTTTATGTGCCTCCATATATGTCTGCATATATATCTATGTGAGGGTCCCAGGAACTGCAGTTACAGACAGTTGTGAGCTGCCATATGGGTGCTGGGAGTTGAACCTGAGTCCTCTGGAGGAGCAGTCAGTGCTCTTAATCACTGAGTCTCTCCAGCCCCAGCTAATGATTTTTCCTCCCTATGGCAATTTTATTACCAAATTTGTGATTTCTTTTTTCTTAACAGAGATATATCAAGGGTTTTCCTGGGACGCTAGCAAGGTGCCACACACTTGCAATACCAGCAGGCAGGAAGTAGAGGCAATGAGACAAGTCCAAGTCTAGCCTGGGCTACCTGTCAAAACTCCAGGCCATCTAGGGTATAAAATAAAGATTCTGATGTAAACAAAGCACATCATATAGTCATAGGACTGACTAAAAAGCACAATGGAAGGGAGGAGTGCATGGTGAGGAGAAAAAAACCTCAAAAGCTGAAATGAGTTCAAAGCCTAGCAGGCAGTAGAGCTGTCAAGAAAAAAAATCTGTAAAATGGTTATTTTTTAGCTGTTGTCTTTTGCATGGAAACCTGTTTTCTTTTAACAAAATACAGTGAGAAATTTCAATATATAAGTTAAATAAAACTAATGCTAATATTAGAATAAATATATTAATAGATCTATAAATGAAGATGATAAAAAAAACTTCAAACTTAGAAGACAGCTGCCAAGGACAGAAAGAAGTTCATGGCTTGTATTTGCCTGAGTTCAAGTGCTGACAACGGCTGCAATAATTTCAGCCTTGATAGCTACTTTATCCCCGTTTTATTCTTACAAAAGAACATCTGAACCTAAATTACACACACACTGTAAAAATGAAATCCACCTTTACTCCCAACAAACTGAGTGACCCTCCAAGGGAATATCTCTAAGACTGAATATTAGTAACAACAGACAAGTTGCTAACCTGCTTTTTATACCAGGCATGGTCAGATGCTTTCCTGGAGATTATAGATCATTTATTTGTTGCAAAAACAAATCGTTGTTACTATTATTTCTTTCACTTTATAGAAGATAAAATATAGGTTCTCAGAGGTTAAATAATACGATCAGTAACATGGCAAAAACAAGTCTGTTTCCCATTCTGGAACTGCTCACTTTGTAGTAGGCAAACTGTGGGACACAGCAGTGAGTAGATGGATTTTTTTCAAAGTAAGAGGCTAAAATTTATTTTAAAATGAAATTATAATCATTTATTTGCAAATAGTTTTTAAAAATTTACAAGTAAAAAATAACTTAGACAATGTAATTCCTAATTTTGGTCTTTAGGTGTCACCATCAGCCAACATATACAGTGTTAAGAAGGAAAGGAAGTTAGTATCTGTCCTCCAAAAAAATCACACTAAGGGTTTAAGTTGAGCCTGCACAATAGTACTGCCATAAATTTATAGTGTCTACTTGCAAAGTTGTCTCATTTTATTCCATAGGCTTCTTAAAAGTAACTGTGTCATTAGTATTCATCACATTTTATTATGAATGAGCATAAAAGCTATGGTTCTTAAATAACTAGCTAAGGACAAACTTAGTCTTCTAACCATTACAGACTTTTTTTTAATTGGTAGGCTTTATATTTACTTTTCTTTTCACACAGAATCCCTAAGCCCTGATTAGTAACTCTCTTTTTGTCTCTATGTCCAGTGTAGTATGTGTCTTCTGTGACCACTCCACACAGACATTCAAGATGAACACTGGGCCTTTCCAGGGCCTTAAGCATGCTAGCAAGTACTCTACCATCAAGCTAAATCCCCAGGCCTTATTGACTTTCAAGAGTTAATTCTAAAGCAGAGTGAGATAATACACATCTACAATCCCAATGAGTGTTGGGTGGGTACAAGGAGCATCAGGTATTCAAGGGCAGTCTGGGTACACTGTGAGTTTGAGGCCAGCCTCAGCTGTAGAAGATCCTACCTCAAAACAGACACCAATAACACTTTTTGTGTGTGTGTGTGTTTTTGTTTCTTAAGACAGGGTTTCTTTGTGTAGCTTTGGCTTACCTGGAACTCACTTTGTAGACCAAGCTGGCTTTAAACTCACAGAGATCCGCCTAAAGGCATGCGCCACTACAATGGCATGTGCCACTACACCTAGCAAAAATAACAACTTTTAAAGTTAATTCTCTGGCAGGGCATTGGTGGCACACACCTTCAATCCCAGCACTTGGGAGGCAGTGGCAGGTGGGATCTGAATTCAAGGCCAGCCTGCTCTACAAAGTGAGTTTCAGGACAGCCAGGGCTACTCACAGAAACCCCCTCTTGAAAAAACAAAATAGAAAAGTTAGTTTTCTGCCTTTCTTAAAGCAAGTTGAAATGTCCCCTTTGCTGTTATCATACCATAGCCTTCTGGTAGATCTGGAGGCGTGTGTAAGTGTGTCCTGCTCATGTAATTTCTATGTCGCTGGGACCTGACTCTTCTCTCTGCTAGTCTGGGGTCTGAAGACTGTCCACACGTTGCACCATTTGTTCCAGTAATTGGAGTATTCTCATCTACAAAGCAGCTAAGAGGTCTGCCAGGACTAGAATATTCCGACGCTGGTCTGTTGAAAAGTGACAAGGGGTAAAAAGGTTAATTTAGACATCAAAAACAGAATCTCTAGATGTCACATATACTATAGTAATAATATAGTAAATAAGACAAGAAATGAGATGACTAGAGCAAGCAATGATTGTAAGAACCTTAGTAAGAACAAGCCTAAAGTCCTATTGACCAAAGAAACTCAAGGGCTGTTTCAATTAAGATGTTTAAAACTCTATGCATACTTAGAGATGTGTTCCTGAGTCACTAAGTACTTGCATACAGGCTGGCCTCTAGACCAGATTTCTACCATTCTGTCTCCCACATGGCTTTTGGCAAGCAGGTGTTTCTCCTCTCCTCGAGTTTGCCTGAGTCATCTGACCTTTTCAGTCCTTGGAAACAGTATCTCTTCCTAGGTATGGCTCTTTCTCATTCAAAACACAGTTAATACTTTACTTCACCTTTGGTCCCAGCACTCGGGAGGCAGAGACAGGCAAATCCTCCATGAGTTCGAGGACAACCTGGTCTACAGAGTGAGTCTAGAGCAGCCAGAGCTGTTACACAGAGAAACCCTGTCTCGAAAAACCAAAACAGAAATATAATTTTGAATTGAGTATATTTTTTTTTAAATGGCAAGACAAGACAGCTCACGAGGTCTTAGCCTAAACAAAAAGCTTCAGGCAACTAAAGAACGCTGAGTGCAGGAGAAATGTTGCCAGAGACTGCTCAGACCCAAAATAATTACAACAGAAACTATATTATTTGCAATACTGTTTGGCCAATAGCTTAAGCATATTTTTAGCTAGTTCTTATATCCTAACCTAACTCATCTCCATTAATCTGTGCATCACCATGAGGTCATGGACTACCAACAAAGTTTCAGAGGGCTCCAGCAGAGTTGTCTGTCTCCTGTGGCAGCTACATGGCTTTTCATGAACTCTGCCTTCTTTCTCCCAGCATTCAGTTTAGTTTTACCACCTAGTTCTATTCTGCTAAGCCACTGGCTGAAACAGCTTTATTCATTATTCAATAAAAGCAACACATACACAAAAGGACTTCCCACACCAGTCTTCCTTAGGGAAGAACACAGCAATTGGATATCCAATACCAAATGGTCAGTCCTGAACACATACAAACAACTAACATTAATTACATAGAGTAAGCAGGTTATATTTTTCTATTTAGGAGTATATATCTATATACGTAACAACATTTTTAAAGGCCATAAATTTGAAAAAAAAAGAGTCAGGAGTAGTACATGGGTGAGTTTGGAGAGAAGAAAGGGAAATGGGAAATGATGTCATTATTATAATCTCAAAAAATAAAAAAAATATGGTAAAAATTTTAAATAGCAAGGCTTTGATGACAATCATAACATAATAAAAAATATTCTAAGAAGGTGTGGTGGCATGCACATATAATCTCAGTCCTTGGGAGGATGAGGCAGAAGGATTTTGAGTTCATGGGTAGGCTGGACCATATACTGAGTTCTAGACCAGCCTGAGCTACAGAGCAAGAGTCTGTTTCAAAACAATAGCAGCAAACAAAAAGAAAAAAGAATAACAAACTCAACTTGATTTAAACAACCATCAATAATCAAAAGTAGATACAGCTAATGAAAACCATTTAATGATTTGTTCTGAGTGCTAGGCCTGCTCAGAAATCACTGGGGGAACCAATACACTAGCAGAGATGGCAATTCAACTTCATTCTTTTTTTCCCCTTTTGGTTTTTCAAGACAAGTTTCTCTGTAGCTTTGGATCCTGTCCTGGAGCTTGTAGAGTAGGTTGGCCTCATCCACCTGCCTCTGCCCCTCGAGTGTTGGGATGAGAGGCGTGCACCACCACCGCCCGGCTCAACTTCATTCTTACTTGTAAAAGGTAGTACAAAGGATGCAAACCAATCACCTTATTCATTTTTAGCATCTTTTTTTTTTTTTTCCGAGACAGGGTTTCTCTGTGGCTTTGGAGCCTGTCCTGCATTTTTAGCATCTTTAACGGCACTCCTTTTCAGTTTCCAAGAACAATCTTGCATCCTGAGAGCTTTACATAGGAACTGCTACACGGATGGGGGCTCTGTCTATCTACCATCTGTCAAATTCTCGTTCAGGCTTTTCCTTTGCAAGGTCATCACCTCCTCACTGACTCTCAGGTATACAACTTCCATATGGGTTTTCTTGATCATATACTTTATTTAGCCATGATATAACAGCATCCCTCAATGACAACCTTGAATAAATATTTTATAACAGCCATTCAGTAATACTCAAATGAGAACTATAAAATGACAGAAGCAAAATTACTGTCATTTGTTTCAGTTAGTAGTATTTACTGAGCACCACTGAAGGTCATGGACATACAAGTAAGAGGATGAACCTGTGAAAAGTCTTTGTTGACCCATAATAGTAGCCAGGCATGGTAGCATAAGCCTTTAATCCCACCAACTCAGGAAGCAGAGGCATGTTGACATCTGACTTTGAGGCCAGCCTTGTCTGCAGAGTGAGTTCAGAACAGCCAGGGCTATATGGAGAGATCCTGTCTCAAAAAACTAAAGGAAGTAATTATAATTAAAATATAACCACTTTAATTATATAAAATAGAATTGACAAATATATATTTAAAAAGTAATAATAGTACCTGCTCTAAGACCTAATGGTTTATACTAGTATAAAGTAATGGGAAAATCAAATAAAGGTGACATATAACAGAAAAATCCAGAAAGGGCAAGCATAGGCCATAGGAAACAACGTATATGATTTTTACCTTGTCGGGCGTTCCCACTGCGTAGTTCTTGTTATGTGGTTTAGATACTGGATTCTTCCAGAGGCAGTCCGCCTTTCTTCCCAACTGCAATAAAAATATGGCATCTAGAACATCAGTTCATAATGAGGCTAATACTGTTTTCAACTTACATTAGAACTGTACAACAGTGTTTATATAGAACTCTGAGCTTCTGATATATTTTGCTGAGGTTACATTTTTCTATCAGCCAGACTGAGAACATTTAAAAACTTTAATAACACTTAAACTGCAATAATTTCCCAAGAATTTTGTGGTAAATGCCTGAACTAACACATTAGCCATAAAACTTACCTGATTTTACAGCAATTAAGCAAATGGTGAAAGATTAGAACACAAGCAGTCTAAAAATTTCTAAGTTCCCATAATTTTTAAAAAGCTAAATTTTAGTAGGGAAGCATATAAAAGCTCTTGAAAGTATTTATAACCCTACTGAAACACATTTATTAAATTTTATCTTTATTTTATATGCATGTGATGTATGTTTTGTCTGTAGGTATATCTGTGTACCGCATACATGTCTAGTGCCCTCAGAGGCCAGAAGAGGGTATCTTTTTCTTCTTCTTTTTTTAATTTTTTCAAGACAGTTTCTCTGTAACTTTAGAGCCTGTTCTGAAATTTGCTCTATAGAGCAGGTTAGCCTCAAATTCACATAGATCTGCCTGCCCCTACCTCCTGAATGCTGGAATTAAAGGGATAAATCACCATTGTCCAGCCAGAAGAGGGTATCTTATTACCTGTAACTGCAGTTACAGATGGCTGTAAGTTAACATGTGGGTACTGAAATTGAACCTGGGTCCTATAGAAGAGCAGTCAGTGCTCTTAACTGCTGGGCCAATCCTCCAAATCAACTTTTATATACAAAGAATACTATTCATCCCTAAATTCTTTATGACATTTCATCTAATAAAACATCCAAATGACTATAAAAATATGGTTATATTCCTCCTGTGGTTGGTTAGCTCTCCCATTGGTATAGTCTCTCAATACTGATTACTTCATCCTCAACTTCCCTATGAAAAACACCACGAACTTCCTCATTTTCAAAAATGAACAAACTTATCAAAAAACCAAAACAAGGAACTGAAGAGATGGCTCAGTGGTTAAGAGCACTTGAGGCTCTTCTAGAGGGCCCAAGTTCAGTTCCCAGCACCCACATCAGGTGGCTCACAACTGTCTGTGTAAGTCCAATGCCAACGGGCACATGAACACATGCACTTGTGCAGATATACACATCTACACATAATTTAAAGCATTTTTAAAAGCTAAAACAATCTATAAAATTAATTCTACCAATTAAAAATGTGTACATTTGTTGGGCTGTGGTGGTACACACCATTAATCCCAGCACTTGGGAGACAAGCGGATCTTTGTGAGCTCAAGGCCAGTCTGGTCTATAGAGAAAGTTCCAGGACAGACAGCGCTACACAAAGAAAAATCCAGTCTCAACAAAACAAAAACTGTACATTTACTTATTATGTGTGCATAGCTACATGAATATGTGTGGGAGAGCACTGCCACAACACAGGTATGCAGGTCAGAGGGGAACTTGCTCCTTCTATTATGTGGGTTCTGGGGTGAGCTCACATTGTCAAGCTTGGTGGCAAGCACCTTTGCCTTCTAAAGTCATCTCACTAGCTCTTACACTAATTTTTTTTTTTTTTTTTTTTTTTGGTTTTTCGAGACAGGGTTTCTCTATGCTTTTGGAGCCTGTCCTGGCACTAGCTCTGTAGACCAGGCTGGTCTCGAACTCACAGAGATCCGCCTGCCTCTGCCTCCCGAGTGCTGGGATTAAAGGCATGCGCCACCACCGCCCGGCTCTTACACTAACTTTTTGACTTTTTTTGCATTTTATTGTTGTTTTTCCTGTATAGACATTAAGTGTGAGGAGGTTGGATCCTGGAGTTTCAGACAGTTGTGAGCTGCCATGTGGGTGCTATGAATTGAACCCCAGGTCCTCTAGAAGAGAAGTCAGTACTCTTAAGCACTGACCCACCTCTCCAGCCCACCCCCCCAACATATTTAATTTTTAAACTGATTTTAAGATTTATTTTTACTTATGTGTAATGTGTCTGCCTCTATGTGCACATGCATGCAGTGCCCAAGAAGACCAGAAGAGGGCAACAGATTACCTGAGTTGAAGTTACCAGTGGGTTTGTAACTGCCTGACTTGGGTGTTGAGAACTGAATTCATGTTCTTCCCAAGAACAGCATGTGTTCTTTAACCACGGGTCTATCTCTGCAGCACCAAGGAATTTATTTTTAAGATTATTTTCATGTATGTGCATATATATCTGTGTTATGTTCATGTGTGTACCCAAGGAGGCAAGATGTTGGATCCTCTAGAACCAGAATTAGAGGTAGTTGTGAGCCACCCAACATGTGTACTGGGAATTGAACCTAGAGTCCTCAGTAGGAGGGAAAAGCTCTTTTAACTAACTAGTGAGACATCTCTCCAGTCCCTAACTTGGTGTTTTTTGAGACAGGCTCTTTAAAACTCACGCTACTTTAGAACTCACTATGTACTCCAAGCTGGCCTTAAACTCATGACCTTCCTCCTACCTCAAACTCCCAGTTGCTAAGATGAACTGGAATGGGTCATTATGCCTACCACAATTTTAGGATTTTAAACAATTGAAACAAAATGTGCAAACACTAGAACTTGTATATAAAATGTCAAAATGAGAAAGGCTAGCAATGTTATAATTACTATTACTCAATTCTCTTTTCCTTACCTCTAAAAATAAAGCAATATTTAAATGCAGTACTTATATGCTCTGTTTCAGAAAATTAAGAAAAATCTTTTCCTTTAAATAAAGAAATTTATAGGAGAGAAATATTTGGCAAGAACTTTCCTTTGTTTCCTTTTCAAAACTCCTTTTTAAATGGTATTTAATACAATTTATGTCAAATCCTTCTAATTTTCCAAGCAGAAGAAAAAAAATCTATATTCTGGAACGAACCATAGACATTCCTAGCACAGCATGGACACCAGCATTTCTCTAAAGACTATAATGACGCTCACTTACCCATCTGGTAAGTCATTATCAAACAAACGACTGCAATCCACAACTTGTCCTCCAGTGCCTATTCGATCTCTGGACTGAAGGCTTACTATTAAAAAAACAAATAATATTATTAAGTCCATGACAGCACTGTCAAGCTCAATATCCATTTTGAAGCCCAGTGTGGTAGTATTTGTCTGCAATCCCAATGCTCAGAGTATTAGGCAGAAGAATTGTTGCAATAGTGATGTTAGTTTGGGCACATAGTAAATTTAAGGTCAGCCTGTACATATTGAGGAGTCCTTGTCTCAGAAAATAAAAATAACATAAAACGTGATTATTTTAATAGTTTAGAAAGATTGAGCTGAAGAAGTAGCTCAGTTATAGTGTTCTAGCTTAGCATGCATGAAGCTCTGGGTTCAATACACAGCACTGCAAAAACCAAAGCAAAGCGTTTAGAATTCCTTGGTTTCTACTAAAATTTGCCATTTCTTTTCCCATAGATTTTTCATTTTAGAAGTGATATTAAAAATCAATGTTTTCAAAAACCAGGTGGTGGTGGCATGCACCATTAATCCCAGCATTTGGGAGGCAGAGGCAAGCAGATCTCAATGAATTCAAGCCCAGCCTGGTCTACAAAGTGAGTTTCAGGACAGCCAGGACTGTTACACAGAGAAATCCTGTCTCAAAAACCCAAAAAAAAAGAAAAAAAAAAAAGAAAAAAGAAAAAAGAAAAAGAAAAAAAAATGTTTTCAAAAGCTGGGGGTGGTGACATACACCTTTAATCCTAGCACTTAGGAAGCAGAAGCGGGTAGATCTTTGTGAGTTCAAGGACAGCCTGGTTTACAGAGTGAGTTCCAGGACAGCCAAAGATACCTGTCTCAAAAAGCCAAACATTAAAAGTAAAAATAAAAGAAATAGAGGTTAAAATAAAGCTATGTAAAGATGAAAAATAGAGTCTGGATACTGTATGTTATTATATTCTCTTTGAATTGTTTGAATGCTGAGGAAGGAGCAACAGCTGCCAAAAGATATTTGTTTATAAATGCTGCTGAATTCAAAACCAAGATAGGTATTTTGAAAATACCTTGACTTCAAAATTGAAGTCAAAAGTTATGTTACTTTGGAGAAGAGATTTTGCTTTCGTTTCCATAGGAAATGAGAGGCTGTGGATTCATTCTGATTTAAGAAAGATCAGGTTTAATCAAGAAAGACCACCTGAGAAATCTCCAGTTGGAACAGATGGCCCAGACATCTAAGTTCTACATCCAGAACAGATTTAAGTTGCTGCCTGAGATGATCAAGCCTCACAGGATACTCCAGTCAAGACTTGACTATAATTCTAAATTTTCTTTAGGTCCCCATAAGATTATCAGCGCCCCCAACCAGCAGGAAGTAGCCTGGAAAACTATGCCCACATTCCCAAAAAATGGACTATGGATGTTCTTGGATTTTTTTTCTTTTCTTTTTTTTTTAAAAAAAGAGGGGGAAGTGGTGCAGGACAATTGGCTATATTCTGTCAATTATGTTTTAAATAAATGCTGATTGGCCTGTAGCCAGGCAGGAGTATAGGTGGGACAAACAGACAGGAAGCAGAGGCAGGTCAATGAGAACAGGAGAATTCTGGGAAGGAGGAAGCCCATTCCTCCCTGGTCCTGTCCCAACAACAGAAGAAGGAAGATGTGACTACCCTGCTGAAAAAGGTACCAAGCCATGTGGCTAACATAGATAAAAATAATGGGTTAATATGTTATTAGAGTTAATAAGAAGCCTGAGCTAATGGGCCAATCAGTTTATAGTTAATGTAGACCTCTGTGTGATTTCTTTAGGACTTAACGACTGTGGGTACTATGGTAGTTTGTTACATGGGTACTGAGATCTGGACTCTGGTCCTCATGCTTGCACAGCAAGTCCTCTTACCCCCTGAGCTATCTCCCTACCCGTTTTATGTATATATTTTAAATTAAGTTAGGCTGATTCTGGGCCATTGTAGCATCTTATATGATTCATATTTATTTCATGCCAATACAAAATATTCAGAGGTATTTAGAGGACTGGGGATGAGACACAATTGGTAGAACTTGCCTACCATACCTAAGGCCCTGGATTTGAGTCACGCACCTCACAAAAGCTGTACTCAAGGAGACAAAGGCAGGAGGGTCAAAAGTTTAAGGTCAGCTTTGGCTAGACAGCAAGTTTGAGGACAGCCTGGGCTACATGATACCTTATCTTGAAAAGAAAAAAAAAAGAAATTATTTAGACGTATGGCAATTCAAATAAAGCTAAAATTCAGAATTTTAAATCCCACACTTACCTACAATCTGTCCTCGAACTGTATCATTGTCATTTGGCCCCAGTTTGCATAGATCCAACCTCTGATCTATTCAAATAAAAAATTAGCTGGTATCAGAAATTATAATATCTATAATCTATAAGTGATATATTTAATTTTCACAAACCATTGAAAACCTGACCTATACTTTTTAAATAATCGTTTTAACTATAAAACGAATGTTTAAAATTCTCTAACTGCGTATGTAGGTAATTTACACATCACAGCAAGTTTTATCAACTTCAGATTCCAAACACCATGAAGCACTGGTACACTACATTGGTAACTAGCAGCTCTCTCCAAAGCTTCCAGATCCCAAGCCCTGGCACTCTCATATGTAACAGAAGCTACCTAATCAGTTTTCAAGGATTAAATAAATTATATAAAATTCTCAATACCTGGCTAAGTGCTGAATAACAATACCTGTTTTTTACCGCTAAGTAGTTAGTACTCTAATATGTATATATTCCTTTTTTTTTAATTGGGAGAAGATTCTTTTTTAATTAATTTATTTATTTAAGATTTCTGGCTCCTCCCTGCCACCGCCTCCCATTTCCCTCCCCCTCCCCCAATCAAAACCCCCTCCCTCGTCAGCCCGGAGCTGCTTTTTTTTAATATAACTACCCCAAAGGGTACACAAAATAAGTATCAGTAAGAAGCCAAGGAGAAAAAAACATTAAGCTCTAGGCTTGAGGTAATCATTTTGGAGACAGCTCTTTCAGTTGCCTTCATCTGTAAAGTAAATACAATACTGGCCTGCCCTCAAAGTTATAAGGTACAATGTCCCCACAGCAAGCTAGCCTGGTTCATAAATGTTAAATCTTCCTGCTTAACTCAACAGTGTAACAGTTTGCATCCACGTATAGAACTTTGTCAAACGAGCATTTCTGCCCTATTGCTCATTACTCTGCTAACCCAGAAGCTAAGATTTTTCTCAGCCACTTAATAGCTTGAGTTCTTCTGACTCAGAACCTGCACCTCAGTCATCTCCCCCTTGATGTGGGAGTGATTTCTTATTAATAAAGAAAATGCCTAGGCCCCTTGATAGGCCCACCCTTAGGTGGGTGGAGAAAACAGAAGAGAATTCTGGGAGAAAGAAGCTTAGTAAAGGAGTCGCCATGATTCTCCCGCTCCAGACAGACGCAGGTTAAGATCCTCCCTGGTAAGCCAGCTCGTGGGCTACACAGAATATTAGAAATGGGTTAGAACAATATGTAAGAGCTAGCCAATAAGAAGCTGGAACTAGCCGGGCCAGGCAGTGTTTAATAGAATACAGTTTCCGTGTAATTATTTCGGGGCATAACCTAGCCATGCGGGCGGCCGGGTGCCGGGGACGCAGCCCTGCCGCTCCTATTTCAACAGAGGGCGCCCAACGTGGGGCTAAATCCACTTAAAAACCTGAGAAGGCTTAAAAATAAGGGAAACAGAGTTTAACACAGATTTTTGCTGTTTTGTTGGTGACATGCTGTAGAGAGATTCCTGATTCAGCAACAGCAGCAGAGAAAAAAAGCTGCGTCATTTTAAAGCGCGGCTTCCTGGTGCTATGCTGCCAGCGTGAACTCTGGCTTTAAAGCATTTCAAGGCTTTTATGGGACTGGATGTTTCTGTTCCCACTTGGGATCGGAGGAGATTGCTCTGAGACCTGCCGATGGCTCAGCGTTCCCTGCCTACACCTGGGCAGATGGCGGAATCAGGCTTAGGCAGGCGGAAGAGCATGGCGGATTCCTGCTGCCATACAGAGACGCGTTTTCAGACTGCGCAGTGCTCTGCGTGTCAGATTTGGCTGTAACTTGGATAAAAAGAGTTTCTGTGCTGCACACTCAGTCTCAAAATTAAATTGCTGATTGCGGCTCCAATGTAAACTGCTGTTTGCCTGTAACTGTGCTCAGCTCAAAAGCACCAAATGACTCTGAGGCAGGAGCGGCTGCTCCTTGCTGAACTGTGCTGATCTCAGGCAGGAACTACCGTAATTACCTTAAAACCGTGCAGTTAAGGTTTAGACTGGGCAGGACACAGGCAGTACCGTATTACCTATACATGGTGCAACTTAAGTTTTTAAGAAATGCTTAACATTTTAAGAAATGCTCCTGGATAATAAAAAAAAAATTACAGATTCACAGTAAAACAGATTCAGACACCGTTGGATGAATGTACGTAGGCTTGGGGAAAAAAAGAGAATATAAAGAATAAAGTTAATGTCTTAAAAAGAAAAAGGGTAAAGTCTTTAAAGAGACAGAGTACAGAAGTACAGATAGTTATAGATTAAGAGAAATAAAGAAAAATAAGCCACGTAAAAATGAAAAATTCACAGAGAGTCTGGATTATGTACATTGTGTTTTCTTTAAAATTTTTGACTGTGAAGGAGCTAAGTACAAAGAGACATTTTATTATATGGGCTGCTAAGCTGAACCTGCACATATGTTCTAAAGGTATCTTGACTTCAAAATTTGGATCTAAGGATATGATGCTTTGGAGAGGGTCTTCTTTTGTTTCCACAGAGGATGTGACCCTATGGATTGCATCTATCCCGGTATGGTATGATAGACCACGCCCTCCTGAAAGGTTGCTGTGAACACCCTCAAAAAATTACTTCACTCAACTGCCAACCGAGATGAACCTGACACACAGGTTACACCCTAAATGATCTGATTAACAGTGCCCCCATTCAGCAGGAAGCAGTTTGGAGAGAAAAAACTACGCCCATGTTCCCAAATATTGTTTATAAATGTTCTTTTACATTTAAAGGGGGATATGATATAGATATGAATAATTTGCATTGGTATGGATTTTAAGGTCAATTTTGTTATATGTATATGTATTTTTGAACTTGATTAAGGTATTGTGATTATGTAGTTCACTTAAAATGTAATGTATAATTAGGAAATATAGGTTGTTAATGGATAATCATTGCTAATAGTTAAGCTTGTAGTCATGTTAGTTAGATTTTCTAGATATATAGAGATATATTTCAATTAGATAGGCATTCTTCATATCTTTCAAAGACTGCAGAATATGGCATTTAAAATATTTTAATAACTTAGGACTTTTCATGACAAGGAGACACGTCTGCTCCTGGCAGCACCAGCTACTTCAAGAGGAAGATGGGCATCGAAGAGGATCCTTATGGAGTTGGATAGTCATTTGGGCAAGAAACTGCTCTTGCCTGGACTGTTGCATAAACTGGACACAGAGAACCCTCAGAGAGAGGACTGCTGAACTTGCCTAAAGGTGAGATGGTCTTTCGGGGTTCCTGATTCATGAAAGAGTCTACAAGACATTCTACAGAACACAGCAGAAAGTGACTGAACTGTCTTTAAAATTTCCTGCTTCATGGAAATGTATCTGGATACCATGGGCCTGTAGGCCGAAGATGGATGCCCCAACGGTACAGAGGAACTTTGGGTGACTGTCCAGGCAGCGAGATGTCTCTGTCATTTCTAGAGTTTTCTTATTTCTTGTTTACTTAGATAATATTATATCCTTCTGGAGTCTTTGATGGAGTTGAAGAATAAATAGTTATAGTTTTCCTTAGTTATGATAAGAGATAAAATAGATATAAATATTGTAACTGTAATTCTTACTTGATAACTGTTTTGTTATATGTAATTTTACTATGCTAAAGTTAAAGCCTTTCTTTTTTGTTTAAACGGAAAAAGGGGAAATGATGTGGGAATGATTTCTTACTAATAAAGAAACTGCCTTGGCCCATTTTATTGGATAGAAAATTAGGTAGGCGGAGTATACAGAAGAGAATTCTGGGAGAAAGAAGGTTAGAGGAGGAGTCGCCATGATGCTCCCACTCCAGACAGATGCAGGTTAAGATCCTCTCTGGTAAGCCAGCTCATGGGCTACACAGAATATTAGAAATGGGTTAGAACAATATGTAAGAGCTAGCCAATAAGAAGCTGGAACTAGCCGGGCCAGGCAGTGTTTAATAGAATTCAGTTTCCGTGTAATTATTTCGGGGCATAATCTAGCCATGCGGGTGGCCGGGACACAGCCCTGCCGTTCCTATTTCAACACCCCCTTCTGTAACAGGCCAATATTTATACATACCATTATAACATCATATTAACATTTTAAAAAATCATCTCTTAATAGATCTAGCATTCAAAGCTAAACTTATAGTGGTTTTGTTAACTAATTTCCTTAGATAAAATTCATGTGAGTCTCCTTATTAGCTCAGGAATCCTAGATAATAACTGATTTTTTTTACATTATATAAGAAAATTTATAGAAACATACAATCAAAACATCTGCTGAAAAGGATCTTTCCAACTATGTCCCAATGGAAAGACACCCTTGGCAGGGCCAAAATGAACCAAACAAATGGCTAACTGTGGTACCTACTAGCATACTAAGGTACATGCTGGCCTCTGGGCTCTCTCCACACAACAAATACCAGTTACAGACTCTTCCTAGCCCTTTGCACCCCACCCACTACCCTACACTTCTCCAGCTCATGGGACTCCCTCCCCGCAGCTTCTCATTCCTATATTAGTCTGTCATTCCAGCCATAGGCCCTCCTGATGCTCTCTTTCTCTCTTAGAGGTCCTCCACTCTTGCCTGCTACCTCCTCTTCTCCTCTCATGGTCTAATCTGCTGGATATGTTTAGTCTACTACTCCCCCCCTTCCCCGTTCTGGACTTTTCCAGATGCCTCTGGCTATTTTCTTCATATCTACAATAAAATTTCCCCCTCAACCATACATTAGAGTGGCCATGTCCTCAATTTCTACAACCCCTACAAAAGACTCTTTGTCACTGGGTTATATGAAATAGACATTGTAAGTCAATTTATCAATCCACTATAGAAATCATTTCTAATGTCTTTGTTTTCTAATACGCAGGATGGTGAAAAACAGACTATTAGTCAAGTAGTTAATAGAACTATTTTATTCTCAAAATGTCTTTTTTAAAACTTTTACCACAGCAGTTTTATTTACTCTATCATTTTGCTACTAATAATTGTTCTTTAATTGCCACCTGATTCCAATTGCCTATAAAAACTCTCACTTCCATTTCAAATATCCACCAAAATTAGGTGCTAAAAAAATAATAAATGCATGTATATTGATTCCTTTCTTTCTAACCTACTGGATATCAATCACTTCTCTTTTTTACTAGTAAAACTTGTTCTTTCACAATTTCATACACGTACATGATACTATCCACCTCTTCCACCCCTCCATCTCTCATTTCTACAAATCTCTTTTGCCTATTTGCCAACTCTATGGTTTTGTTTTGCTTTGTTAGATTAACTAAGGCCATCTGGTAACTCCAAGTTAATTGCCAAAGAGATCAGCACTGAGTTGTAGGTCCCAAGAGTCTCCACAGCTAAATGTTAGGAGGGCTGGACCTCTGTGCTCCCAGTGTCAGTATACACAGTTGCTGTGGGTTCATGGCCACTGTGGCAGGCTGTGCTTAGCACATGGCATTTTGGAGCTCCCTCTCCCCACTCTGTGCCTCACACATTTATTCTAGCCCTCTTCCTCAAAGTTTCCAAGCTTTAAAGGAATGGTGCAAATTTTGTCTAGAAGTCAGGACTCAGTCATCCTTTGTTCTTAGTATCCTGTACTGTCATGGGTTTTTGCATTTAACTCCATTTATGCAAGGAGAGGGTTTTCTGTTTAAGGTTAAGAGCTACCTTCCTCTGGTCGAGAGAAGCCCCAAATTCACTGGAAGCTAAGTATTATCTCTGATTCATCTCCAGGATCACATCTTTACAATGTTTCATTTTTGAAAAAAAAAATATTACATTTAAGTATTTAAAGTGTTGTTAGGGAAGAGAAAGAGAAAAGAGAGGGAGGGAGGAGAGAGGAGGGAGGACGGAGGAGATGGAGAGAGCGCTATTGCCTTAGTGGTTGGTACCCACCAAACCATTTTGCCAGTCCAAAATGTTTTCAGTTTTTGTGTTCGTTAAATAAATATAGACCAGATATTTTTATCAGTGATTCAAATACATATGGAAACTTCAGTTTTTGGACACCTACTACATAAAAGTTCTCATACATATTTTCTCATTTAAAACAATCACTCACAACCAGTGTCTTTGAGGCGGTTGATGGCGTTGGAAAGAAGACGGACACAACCAAGAAATCCAGCACCTTGCTTCTTATGGATCTTCTTATGGTTCCATACACTGATTGTAACTGAATCAGACTTTCCAATATACCTGAAAGAAAAAAACAGCTACCTGAATGACTTGGTGGTAGTTATAAGTAGTACAAAATTTAACTTTTTAATATCTTGAAGTCATAAGTATATTTCAGAGTACAGCTAAAAAAGCAAATTGTCTTAAATTCAATCAATCCACCTTAAAATTTTAAAAATATTCAAAAATAATTTTTAATTTTTAATATAATCCCTTTTTTCCAATCTTAGGTTGGGCAACAATAAAAAAAAAAAGGCTATTTTAGAGTTTGGAAAAGTCACTGAGATGTAGAGAGAATAGTCACCTAGCAAGTGCAAGACCCAGGGTTTGAGTCCCCAGCACAGCCAAAGAGAAAAAAAAAAAAAAAAAAAAAAAAGAACAACTACTACTCCATAGCACTAAGGCATTTTATAATGATTATAAGACTAAAAATCCTAAAAGAACTTTTATCGCAGTCCCATTTTGGACAGGTTTTAGTTTTTACCTCAGATACTTAATTCACCTTCAAAAGGCACTGTCAAGGCTGATAGACCAAAACTCTGACCTACCTGTTATATTTTTAAATGCTGCAGAACAAAAGCTGTTTGTAACGCTTTTCCCCTGCTTCTTTCCTATATGCAGGCCTTGAGCGAGCAGGACTCTTGTGGGTTTCACTTCACTGCCTGCAGACAAGCAGAGCAGGGAAAAGCGTTACTGTACTTGTTTGTGCATATGCCTGCAAATATGCAAAAGCTCTATCATGGCCAATTATTAACATGGCATCAAGTCATGCAAAAACATGGTTAATAACATAATCATGTGAGTAGAACCTAACTTTTCTTTCAGTGATTCTAAGAGGTCAAATTTTTGGTCCAGCAACCTTGATCTTACACTATCATTTAATAAAACTAAAACAAGGAATATGGAAGATTCACTTGAGTCCTGGATCCAGTTGTATTAAAAAAAATGCTAACTTTTTTGTTTTGTTTTGTTTGGTTTGGTTTTGGTTTTTCGAGACATGATTTCAAGACAGTTCCTCTAGCTCTTGTAGACCAGGCAGGCCTCAAACTCAAGAGACCCACCTGTCACTGCCTCCCAAGTGCTGGGATTACAGGTGTAAACCACCACCCTGCTGCAGACAACCTCAACCTAGGAAACTTTTATCATGTAAGTCCTTTGCTTTTGTTGTTACCATGGTTTTTTTTTTTTTGGTTGTTGTTGTTGTTTGGGGGAGGTTGGGAGGGGGGGGGAAACAGCAGCTCAGTCTGGCCTTGAACTCACTGTGATGACCTTGAACTACTGATCTTGCTTGCCAGGTGGGATTACAGGCAAACCACACCATAACCAAATTTATGTAGTGCTGGGACTCAAACCCAGAGCTTCATGCATGCTTGGCAAGTATTCTACCAACTAAGTTACATGCCCAGGCCTTTGTTTTGTTATTGTTTGATTAAACCAGTATAATCTTTAATCTTCTTGCCTCCCGAGTGGTGGGCCATCAAACCTGGCTCTAAAATTAATCTAATTTTTTATTGTTTACAAATGAGATGTTCTAAACTATCATTTAGTATACATGCATCAATTTTCAAATACATCTACCAGATGTATACTGGTATGTAACTACTGCATGTTATATCACATTGCAACAAATAACACCCCCAAAACAAACACTTAAAAAATTACTAGTGTTTCCTAACTGGTTTGTAACTATTCTAACATTGACTCCTGAGGCCTAGGGTAGTCCATTACTGGCCTAAGAAACTCTATTTAGTACTATGTATCTGCTTATTCTTTATGCATACCATGATACAAAAAAAATTTGAAATTCTAAACTAATAATTTCTTAAGTTTTGGTCTTCTGAAAATAACTGTGAATTATTTAAAATAACTAGAAGGTACTTAGGTATTACAGGTCAAAGTGTTCTGTCAAAATCTTTGAGGGTCAGAAACTAACCAGAAATTGCATTTAAGGTGTCTTTGCCTTCATTTTAAGGAAAACTCATGTAATTTAACACATAGTTAGAAGAAAAACAAATTTTTTAAACCGGTAAATTAAACACTTTTTGTGTTATTGCCATTGTTTTTAAGACAGGATCTTGCTCTGTTGTCCAAGGGGCTGAGTACTTGCAATTCTCCTGAACAGATAGATAGTCCTACAGGTACACACCACTACACTCAGCTTTAAAGTTAAACAGAAATCTCTACTTTGTTCTATTAGAACCTCAACTTCCCCAACAAGTATAAGATTTATAAACAAAATTCAAGAGGTTCTAACAAAGAATTTCTCTATAGGAGGAAATTATATATATATATATATATACACACACACATATATATACACATAAATACACACACACACACAGCCAAGACGTTGGCTCAAATATAACTGTTATACTTTATAGGCCTACCCAATCTAATGAAAAGATTTGATAAAAATGATACCAAGTATTACTCTGATCTCTTCCATTGTATTTGAAACATATAAGACAGACCTCCCTAGGTAGCCAGTTAACAGTAGCTATACAGTCAGTCCCATCAAAATGTGAAAAGATCTCAACATCACTAGTCTTCAGAAAAAGGTAAACTGAACCTAGTTGAAGTACAGCTGTAACATGTTTACTTTCTTCTTACTGTGTGTGTAGTAGTCTATTTTTTGTATTTTGATAAATAAATCTAGCCTGAATACCAGAGGCAAAGTTAAAGCCACTAGATGTCAGGCAATGGTGACAGAATTAAACCCAGAATTTGGGAGTCAAATGATCTCTGTGAGTTCAAGGCCACCCTGGGCTATACAAAATCAATGCAGAAACAAATCCAGGTGGTGGTGGCTCACACATTCAATCCCAGTCCTGGGGAGTCACATACCTTTAACCCCAGCACTAGAGAAAATATAAAATGGGAAGAGAGAGAAGCTTAGTCTGCTTTAGTTTACGGTCATCCAGCCTTAGTAGAGATAAGACTTCTCTAGTGGCTTGGTTGCTTTGCTTTTCGGGCTGAACCCCAATTTCTGTCCCTTGGTTTTTATTATTCGTGCTAGGTTATGAGTGTGTGCATGCGTGTGTGTGTGTGTGTGTGTGTGTGTGTGTGTGTGTGTGTGTGCGCACACGCACACTTCAATAATCCAAAGCACTTTTCCACTGGGTTTTGCTCCTCTTTTATAAACGTAAAATCGTAAGGTTGAACCTGTGGTGTTGGCAGGCCTGCAATCCTAGCTATTTAGAAGGGTGAAATAGGAAGATTCCAAGCTCAAGGAGATAAAATACATACAAGTAAAAAAGGGGGTAAAATGAGGTGGGGGTACAGATCAGGGTTAGAATGACTGCCTACCATGTTTGAGACCCAAGGCTCAATCCTTAGTACTATTTTGAAAAAGGAAAAGAAAATGATTGAACTATATTATATACAAACTAAAAACATTTTCATGGTTCTTTTCAAAGATTATATTACATTGACTCTGTTTCATTTCAACTAATCATATCCACCTACAGGTCATAATGCTGATTCCACTTTGGATCAAGTGTGTTCTTCACAGTATCTGTAGAATGGCACTGCCCAGAACCATCAACTACCACCTTAGCAAATGGATCAGGGAGTCCTGTGAAAAAAAAGGAAGTATTTTAAACTAAAAAATACTTTGACATGTAAAATAGAAGATTATTAAGGATTACCATTTGCTATAGAAGATAAAGGATTTTTCCATTCTTTTATTAAAATCTAACATTCAGACACACACAGAGACCTATTTTAAACCAGACTTTGGAGTCACATATTTGATATCAAAACTGTACTTTTTTTCTTGTTCCCAACTCAGAACATTCTGCTAAACACTACCAGGGTTGATGCTGGAGAGATGATAGCTCAGTGGTTAAGAGCATTGACTGCTCTTCCAGAGGACCTGGGTTCAATTCCCAGCATCAACATGGCAGTTCACAACTGTCTATAGTTCCAGTTCCAGGTGATCCAGTACCCTCAAACATACATGCAGACAGGCAAAACACCAATATAAAAATTAATCAATCATTTTTAAAAAACCACATACACACTACCAGGGTCTAGCGGGTGCCTGGGTGCTTGAATATTGTAAGCAGTCATTGAACTCTGAGAAGGTGAATGCTCAAAACATCTACTCTATCTTTCCACACAACTGTCTTAGTAGTTCATTTAAAGAGCTTATTAAACATAGGCTGTCATACTGAACATTAACTACAGAAAAGTCAAACTAGCTAAAAACTGTTACTGAATAACGAATGACTACAAGTAATAAGAGACTCAACAGAAAAGAAATGAAAATAGCAAACATGGGAGAGGTGACTGACAGCAAATAAATGGCTGTACTGACTAAAACAGCAAACACAATGGGGACTATTCAAAATACTTCATCTTAAATCTTTACAATAATCCTCTGATGGAAATGAATGTTGTTAATCCATATTTTATTAACAAAGAACAAAAATATTAAATAACTAGTTCAATGCTACACAGTAGTGAAAAGTATAGACAGAGTCTAAAGCAGCAGCTCTCAACTTGTGGGTTGTAACACCTTGGGGGTGGAGGTCAAACAACCCTTTCACAGGGGTCACCTAAGACCATGAGAAAACACAGATATTTACATTACAATTCACAACAGTAACAAAATTACAGTTAAGAAGTAGCAACGAAAACACTTTTATGGTTAGGGGTCACTACAACATGAGGAACTAACTGTATTAAAAGCTTGCAGCATTAGTAAAGTTGAGAACCACTGTAAGTTTAGACTCTGAACCCATGGACATACTGGCTAGTTCTCAACCACGTGTATTTATAATTTGGATCTGGAATGTAACCCAAAGGCTATGTTAAAGGCTTCATCCCAAACAAAGCAATACTCAGAGGTGGTTGGGAAAGGACTGGTTTATGAGGGCTCTGATCTTATCCACAGAGTAATCCACTGATGTCTTCATAATATGATAGGCTATTCTGGGAGGTGATAAAACCTCACTGAAGAACTGGGTCCCTGAGGTATACGTTGTCCCTGCCCTGGTCCTCCTCTTTCCTCTTATCTGTGTTTTGCAGCCACGAAGTGAGCTGTTTCACCATGTCCTTACTGTCATTATGTTCTGCTGGTAAAACAGGCCCAGACAAACAGAGCCAGTTAAACATGAGTTCGAAACTTCTAGAACTGTGAGCCACAAAAACCAAAAAACCAAACCACAAAAATCAGTTCCTCCTTTAGTTGATTCTTTCAGATATTCTGTCAGTAATGGAAAATGGACATACCACCAATTTACAATTTGGTTCAAGAGTCAGCTGATGTGGGATTCCCCTCTGTATGCTGTGAATGTTTTATTACCATTAGAGCAGAATAGAACAAGGTGGGAATTCCAAGATAGAGGAGAAAAGAAGGCAAAGTCAGAGAGACACCATGTCACTTTTAATCCCAGCACTTGGGAGGCAGAAGCAAGCAGATCTCTGAGATTGAGGCCAGCCTGGTCTACAAAGAGTTCCAGGACAACCAGGGCAATACACTGAGAAACCCTTTCTTGGAAAATCAAAATAAAATAAAATAAAACTACTACTGAAGAGAGAAAACAGAAAAGGCTAAGATGCGGTGGTGCACTAGATGTGGTGGTTCACTGTTTTATTCCAGCACATAAGAGGAAGAGGCAGGCAGATTTCTGTTAGTTTGAGGCTAGCCTGATGTACATAAAAAAAAGCTCCAATACAACTGGGATGACATATTGAGACCTTGTCTCTAAAACAAAAAATAGAACAAAAATGACTCATTAAAAGAGGCTTATGGCCCAGCAAAAGAGATCAATGGATAAAAGTTCCTGCCACACAAACCTGATAGCCCATATTCAATGCCCAGAACCCATATTAAAAAAAAACAACAACAATGCAGCGGCACAATACTATAATCCTTGCACTTCTATTAGAAGAGGGAGGGTGAAAAGAAAAAAAATGTTTTCCACACAAAAACCTCTTCAGTATAGCTTCGAGATTGTTATTTATGCAGTACTCTGTCACAGGCTCTTATGGTTTACTTTCTGCTAAATAAATACAACTCAATACTTTGTTCTATTCCTTAACTCAAAGAGAACTTTTAGCTTCCCCTTAACCTGGCAGTATCACTTTTTTACAAAAATTTATCATCAAGGACAAATTACACCCAAAGCTGTAAAGTTTTCAAAAGCTAGAGAGACTTCTAATGGTAAATACAAACTAGTTACTACATTTTCCAAATTGTAAAAAATGTTCATTCTCCCATCACCCCAGACAGGTAAGATGGCAAGGGTTAGGTTCATTTGACCAGACAAATACACTAGTGAGCTGCAAATAATTATAAAATCTAAACGTAAAACGGGGCCAGAAAGTTGGTTCAGCAGGTGCTTACTACCAAGCTGACAACCATCTCCAGGACTGACATGGGAGGAAGAGAGAATGGGATCCTCTGACTTATTCATGCATACAAGCACATAATAAGTAAATATCATTTTTAAAAATTTTAAACTTAAAACTCAGTTACTTTCAGTCTAGTGTGGTGGCACACATCTTTAATTCCAGGACTCCAGAGAACGAGGCAGGTGGATCTCTGAAACTCACTACTCTAGACTGGCCTTAAACTGCTGATCATTATTCACCCCCACACCCCAAATGCCCAAAAGTCAAGACCCAATTCATACTAATGTTTTTAAAAACTGACACCAATAAAACATTCCTTAAATAAAACTCAGATAATGGATAAATGAAAAGATGTGTCATCAATTTAATTGTAGAATCTACTTGTAAAATAACTCACTATAAAATTCTTTTACCTGTTGCTTCATAGTTGAAATTTTTCCTGCAGAAAATGTAAGGGTACGGGGGTGGGAAGGTAGGGAGAGATTGATTTTTAAAGGTCAAGAAGCTTGAAAACAGCTCCAAAGTATGAGCCAAAAAGAACTTTTCTTAGCCAGGTGGTGGTGACACACACCTTCAATCCCAACACTTGGGAGGCAGAGGCAGGCAGATCTCTCTGAGTTCGAGGCCAGCCTGGTCTACAAGAGCTACTTCCACCAGAGGCTCCAAAGTTAAAGAGAAACCATGTCTCAAAAAAAAAAAAGAAAAAAAAAGAAAAAACCCAAAGCAACAACAAAAACACACAAAACCCCTTTCCTTAGCAAGGGTTATAACTGGAAATAAACAGCACCATCTCACATATAAATTAGCATATAAAAACCACATGACAGGTTTTTTTCCCTACAGTGAAATATATATTTATTTCCTAACTTGTACTCATGTTCCACCTTAAAATGGACTTTAAGCACGTAAGACAACCTAACTCACAAACAAAATTTGGCTATATTTACTATTAGCAACTCTACTCTGGGGACTGGAGAGCCCAATAGTTAAGAACACTTGCTATTCTTTTTTTTTTTTTTTTTTGGTTTTTTTTTTTTTGGTTTTTCGAGACAGGGTTTCTCTGTGGCTTTGGAGCCTGTCCTGGAACTAGCTCTGTAGACCAGGCTGGTCTCGAACTCACAGAGATCCACCTGCCTCTGCCTCCCGAGTGCTGGGATTAAAGGCGTGCGCCACCATCGCCCGGCTGAACACTTGCTATTCTTGCAGGAAAATCAGGTTCAGTTCCCAGCACTCCTGAGGGTACTGTCCATAATTTCACTTCCAGAGAACCCAGTACCCTCTTCTAGCCTCCAAGGTCACTAAGGTGCAGGCAGTACACTTACATACATATAAGAAAAATACGTAAAATTAAGATAATAAATATTTTTAATGCCACTCTTAATCAGTAAACACACTAAAATTGAAAGAATTTAGGATCTGTCTTTCTCTAAGATTAATGTGGATAGACAAAACTACACTGAAGTGCAGGTATGAACCTAAACAAGCAGAAATCTGGAATGCTGGTCAGGGTGAGTCGCAAATGACTTCCATCCTTGGTTGGTTCCTCTGTAAAGCTACAGAGCTGGCTTGTTGCTGCTCCCCTTTCTAGGCCATCAGGTATCTTCCACTCTGAGTTTTAAAGATAATTATGCTGTCTCTAAACCTTATGCATGAAGCAAGCTCACATTCTTAAATTATTTCTGGCAGTATTTACTGCCGACACTAATGAAAAAGGGTTTCTTCCCTTCAACTACTATTTAGTACCACTGTCAATTCTTAGAGGCTTACAAAGGATTGAAGACTCTTCCAGATTTTTGAGGAACACTGAGCCAAGAATATCTGGATGTTTTATGAGGGAAGCTGTGAATGGTGCTGTGAGGAAAGGGAAAAAATGTGAAAAGGAAGTCAATATGAAACAAATACTGAAACTCAACTTTAGGAGGATTTTTAAAAACTACAGCTTGGTCTTTAGTTTATTAGTGATAAGAAGGTAAAACTGAGCAGTAGCCCAGGAGAGAATAAAATTGGTGTTAGCAGACACAGTTGGGAGTTTTCTGGCCCTTGGGCCCTCCTCGCCTGTGAAATGCTTGTGGGGCAGACAGTCTATCAAAAAGAAGTGGAAAGGTACTCCCAATTGTCCTCATCTGCGTCAAGTTATTCTATTTCACACTTCCCCATATAAGCACAAAGATACCATAAACATCCATAACTATAACTATATAAAATTATGTTCTTTAAACTTACAGTCAAGTTTTACTATAGAAAGATGTAAAATACTGATGAAATTCAATATGTATTTTAAACTTGTTAAAAATTATTAGTCCTTAAAAAAATCTTACTATTGTTATGTGTATGGATGTTTTGCCTGCATGTATCCCTGTGTACCACATCCATGCAGTGCCTGTGGAGGTCATAAGACGGCATCAGATCACCTGGAATTGGAGTTACAGAGGGTTGTGAGCCTCCATGTGGGTGCTGAGAATCAAACCTGGACCCTCTAGATGAGCAGCTAGGAGATCTTAATTGCTAAGCCATCTCTCTAGGCCTGAGAATTTACTCTCTTTTAACCTACCTGAAATTACCTAGTGTCATACTAAACATCAAACATGTTTGTTAGCTGACAGAACGTAAGACTTAAAAATCTAATAAATTTCTAATTTCAAACATTTTACATGCAAACTTTTTGACTAAAAGTTTTTATTTACAATTTAAAGCTAATGCAAAGTATGAAATTACAAGGTTAAAATAAAAAAGAAAGAGCTAGATGTGGTAGTGCACACTAGTAAACTGCTAGCAGAGACTACACAGCAGGCTCAGGAATTCAAGGCTAGACTGGGCTACATGAAACCCTTTCTCAAAACAAAAAGTACAAAGTGAGGAAGAGGGAAAGAGATTATGGGTTAATATATATATGCTACTTATTTTTATTTCATGTGCATTGGTGTTTTGCCGTCATGTATGTCTGTGTGAGAGTGCTGGATCGCCTGGAATCAGAACTACAGGAAGCTGTGTGCTGCCAAATGAGTGTTGAGAACTGAACCTGGGTCCTCTGGAAGAACAGCCAGTGCTCTTAATTGCTGAGCCCTCTCTCCAGCCGAAGATTTTTAATACATAAAAGGGAATTCCTAATCCTCTCTCATAAAACTTAATCCTAAATGAAGCTACAAAATTTTTCACAACTTCTAGGCATTGTTAATCCCTGTAATCCTAACAGTAAAGTCAAGGCCAGCTTAGGCTACATAGCAAAACCCTGTCCTAAAATAGAAAACTACATTCAATTGGCAAATAGACTATATATGCGGAACCAGTGCCTGCTCTGGAGACTGGCAGTGGTTTCTTTCCTACAACTCTGGAAACTACAAGCAGACTCAATTTTGTACCTCCAAATGAATCCTAAATGCATAGGTGAATTTTCCTTAAAATGTTAAAGACAGTATTAACAAAAATTTTAAACCCTTTCTAGAAACCTAAACACTTGCATTTATCTATCTGCATACACACATTTGTATAGATGTGCAGACGTGGATAGAGAAAGGGGGTAAAACAAACCCTCAAATCCTCTAGATAAGTCTGGGGCTAAATGACTTGGAACTATAACATTCATAAAACAGTCTGGTTTTGAATCCCTAAAACCAGGAAGTTCTGAAAATACAACTCATCCAAAATCTACATAGGATAGACAAGATTGTAGTAAAATTAATTTACTTACGGAAAAAATCCTTTTTCACCAAGTTTTTTGCACAGAGTACTGTAAAGAAACAAAAACAAATACATGGGAAAATTAAATTAAAATGGAAAGACTGGATTACTTCATTTTTAAACATTGAAAACAGCAGTGGATAATTAAACTCTAACTACAATGAGGTGGTTAGTAAACTTTTAATAGTCTAGCCAACAAAAGAAGCTGATTATTAACGACTGTAACCTTAGCAATTATTACCAGTAACAGCAGAGGAACAAAATTGCAAATCTGATGATTTTAACTTGGAACCAATTCCCATTTTCACCAAGATTTATTATTCTTAAGAGGGAAATTTTTCATAAAACTACTAGAGAGATGGCTTGGTAGTTTAGAACACTTGCACTTTCAGAGGACCACAGTTTAGTTTCCAGCACTCAGGTCAGACTATTCACAAATGTCTGTAACTCCAAGTCCAAGGGATCCAATGCCCTCTTTTGAAATCCAGAGGTGAGTGTGAATACACATATATGCATACGCACACGCGCGCGTCCGTGCCTCACACACACAAAGAAAGAGAGAGACAAATAAAAATGAATTAAAAATAAAAAGATCTGTTTTTGAAGAAACTCGGTGGTAATGGGGAAAATGGCTCTAAGGAGAAGATACATAAATTCAGGTTGACATTATCTATTTAAGGATGAAATAACTGTCTATAGAAAAGGATCATAAATAAAAGTTTCCTGATATAATTTGATTTTAAAAAACTAACATTCTGTGCTCTTATCTAAACACCACAGAAACCTTACAGGAGAGATCTGCCTTCCTCTAAACATCAACAGCTCAGTGACAAGGTGGGTCTCCCATATGCTGGCTAGGTGACACAACAGGTAAAAAACTGCTTGCTGCCAGTCTGACCTTACTTAGTCTGATCCCCAGGACCAACAAGATAGAAGAAGGGGACCAACTCCTGAAAGTTGTCTGCTCTGACCTCCGTACCCCCCCCACCCCAACACACTCATTAATAAATATAATTTAAAGTTAATTAAATTTAAACTATCTCAAATCTGAGTGCCCTGTAATGTGAATACTTGCACATTCTGAATCTACCAAAAATCACCAAATTCAGCACTTTAAAAATGTATTTATGACTATTACAAATCACGTGCTGCTATGAACATAGTTGAACAAATGCTTTTATAGTATGATTGGGCATCTCTTGGGTATATTCCCAAGAGTGGAATTGTGGGATCCTGAGATAGCTTGACTCCCAGTTTCCTGAGAAACCGCCACAATGATTTCCAAAGTGGTTGCACAAGTTTGCATTCCCATCAACAATGGATGAGTGTTCCCCTTACTCCACATCCTCTCCAACATAGGCTATCATTGGTGTTTTGATTTTAGCCATTCTGACAGGTGTAAGATGGTATCTCAAAGTTGTTTTGATTTGCATTTCCCTGATCACTAAGGAGGTTGAGCATGACCTTAGGTGTCTTTTGGCCATTTGAAGTTCTTCTGTTGAGAATTCTCTGTTCAGTTCAGTACCCCATTTTTTAGTTGGGTTAATTAGAGCTTTAATGTCTAGTTTCTTGAGTTCTTTATATATATTTTGGAGATCAGACCTTTGTCTGATGCGGGGTTGGTGAAGATCTTCTCCCATTCAGCAGGTTGCCTTTTTGTCCCTAGTAGGTCCTTGGGCAGCAGAGGAGAGGGTGTCTGAACTGGCCTTCTCCCATAGCCACACTGATGAATATCTTGGTTTTTTTTGTTTTGTTTTGTTTTTTGTTTTGTTTTGTTTTCAAGACAAGGTTTCTCTGTAGCTTTGTTGCCTGTCCTGGAACTAGCTCTTGTAGAACAAGCTGACCTCGAACTCACAGCGATCCACCTGCCTCTGCCTCCCAAGTTCTGGGATTAAAGGCCTGCACCACACTGCCCGTATAAAGCAACGATTTTTAAACTGCCATTCATTCTGATTTATAGCTTCAGAGAAACAGGCAATCTGGGAATTCCCCAAACTTCCTGCTATAAATTTACTGTTTTCATCCTTCACTCACAAAGTCTGCTCTCTTGCACAAGACTATCTTTCCATTCTGGACCTGACTTCCTCTCATGGACCTTGAGAGCCACCACTGACAGCCTGGTCTTGTCTCTTTTGACTACCCAAGCTTCCCTCCAGCTACCTCTGCTCTTTCATAAGGAAAATTCAAGTAGCTATCTTCTGGCTCCACTTCTTTACTGCCCATCAATGCCTCAGCACTCTACAATTTAGCTTTTTCCCCCTCATCACAGCACCTAAATTACTTATCTAAAGCCCAGGGACTTACTTATCAAATCCAGTCAATGAATACTTTTCATCCTTTGTTGCATTTGATCCCACAGGGGAATTTGCCACTACTGACTGCTCACTCTTTTGGAAGCTATCTCTTCTTTTGGTTCTATTTAACAGCATAGTCTCGAATGGCATAAATCAATCAATCAATCACCTCATTCTAAGACTTCTTTGCCAGATCTTGTGTTCCATCCATGAAAGCTGAGGTTCTTTAAGGTAATGCCCTAGGTCCCCTTTTACGGTATACCTATGGGTTAGTATATAAGAGAGAGAGAGAGTCAAAGCCTGACATGGTGGTGCATGCCTTTGATTCCCCCCGGACTTGGAGGCAGAAGCAGGTGGTCTCTGTGAATTTGAGGCAAGTCAGGTCTACATAGAGAACTCCAGGACAGTCAGGGATAAGAGAGAAATCCTGTTTCAAAAAAAAAAAAAAAGTTGCCCATCTTTGTTAACTTTGAAATTCTAAGTAAACTATTATTGATATTCTTATTTTTCTATAGCAAGAGCTCATATTCTCTAGGAGAATTCATAGTTTAGCAGAGTAATAAAACTCTTCCATCTCAATAAATAAATAAAACGTCACATTTCAGATATTCTCCTGGGTCTTTGCCATTTACTCTATAGTTCTGATAACATCTAAACTTTTTAAAACTCAACATCTAGAACTCTAAGCCTCAGGTCCACAAAACTAAGTATGCTCCCAAATAAATCACAAAAGCCCCAAACTACTCCTCCGCCAGTTTACTTTCAGTAAACAAGGCTGGGGTGTAGCTCAGAAGTCCTTGTTCAGCATGCACAAGGACCTAGGCCCATTCCTCTGCCCAGTAGAGGGGGGCAGCTGGAGGTGAATGGGTATTTTTAACCATCATCACCTACATGACAAAGTCTGGGATACCCTCATCTGTTTACTTCTCTCTAGCCAGTTTAGTCACAGAAATTACTATAACCTTCTAACTGGGTCTCTGTCTCAAGCCTCACCAGCTTCCATGTGCCAACACAGGACACAGAGTGACTTTTCCAGACCACTGATTACACCCTCTCATTTCCCCTCTCCATCCTTAAAGATCTCTGGATCAAACTTATTTTCTCTTCAAAACCTTGGCTACTGCTCACCTACCTCCCTAACTTCATTATCATCACAACTCCCAGCTAAGTTCCCTAGTACAATAAAAGATCCACCATAATTCTCAAAGGTATTCCATCTCTCACTTGACCTTACATTTCACATTCCTCCCTCCACCCAAAGCATCAGTCCCAAGTTTTTTCACCTACTCATTTTTGCAATCTTAAAAGGGAAGCAAGCATTTTAGAACATGTTTCTTTCAACTCTCCCATTTTCACAGCGTGGCTATGCAGGTTGCAAACACCTTACAGCATGAGTTATGCATGTTCCCTTCACATCTTAGTATCCCCAGAATTCTATACACTGTACCTGGCATCTGATTGGCATTCAACTGGTAATTGTTGAATGAACAAAACAGAACTCAAAGTATTGTAAACTTCATTAAAATGGTGATTATTTTTCTTCAACAATAAAACATAAACTATCAACTGGGTGTGGTGGAATATGCGTGTAATCCCAGCACTTGGGAGGCAGAGGGTTATCTGTAAATTCAAGACCAGACTGGTCTACAATGTGAGTTCCAGACAGTCAGGGTTTTTACACAGAGAAGAAAAGGTCAGAGCTGCAGAGAGATAGCTCAGCAGTTAAGAAAACTGGCTGCTCTTGCAAAGGTTTGACTTCCTGTACCCACATAGCTGCTCACAACTACCTGCAACTCCAGTTCCAAGGAACCCAATGTACTGTCTGGCCTCCACAGACACATACATGGTGCACCAACATACATGTTGGCAAAATATTAGTATACATAAAATTAAAATAAAAATGATACTGGAAACTCAAGAGTAAAACCTAGATACAGTTTATTTATGAATTTATGAAAAAATCACAAACTACAGAAAAGTTGGGCATGCTGTTAAACATCTGTAATCCTGGCACTCACGGAGGCTAGTGGGAAAGTGAAGGGAGACAGACAGACGGAAGACAGAAAGAAGGAAAAGAAAAATTAAGAGTACTAGAAGAAATAAGATTTAAAGCAAGAAATATCAGAACTGGCCAAATTATTATTGTATGTGTGTGAGTGCATGTGTGCACACAGATGAAGGCCAGAGGTTGAGATATTTACCTCATTCTCCACCTTATGTTTGATGAGCATGAAGCATACTAACTTGGCTAGATCAGCTGACACTAGTAAGCCCTAGTATTTTTTGTTTTGTTTTGTTTTTGGAGACAGGATTTCTCTGTGTAACAGCTCTGACTGTCCTGAAACTCACTTTGTAGATTAGGCTGGCCTCGAACTCAGATCCGCCTACTTCTGCCTCCCGAGTACAGTGATTAAAGGTTTGTGCCACCACCGCCCAGCACCCTAATATTTCTAAAATACTAGTAAGCCCTAGAAATACTAGGAATACTAGGGCTGACTCTCCAAAACTAAGATTACAAGTTAGTGTGCTATGCCTAATCTTTCTTACAAAAGTGCCAGGAATCCAAACTCAGATTACCATGCTTACACAGCAAGCACTTTACTGACTTTAGCCATCTCCCCAGCCCTAGATTCCTGGCACTAACTCTCACAAAACTCAAAACAGCTTTTTTTAAAAATTGTTTTTATTTTTTGTGTATGTGTGTGCCTGCATGAGTTTATGGCATCACACAAGTAGGTGCCCATGAAGGTCAGAA